TGGATGTTTTTGTAGGTGTGGAGATGAAAGGAGAGGTGGAAACTTACAGAAAATTGCCTTTTGACCACCTTCATAATGGTGTGTAGTGATCTCATTCTTAGAGATTTCATTGTCTTGGGGATCTCATTTCTTGGAGATTTCATTGTCTCTCTTGAATTTACGTTTAGTGAAATAAAACTTTAATTGTTTAAAATGTCAGGGCATGCTTCACACACACATGTTTTAAAGAAGAAATTCTCGTTGCTATCTCTGAGAAATTTACGAAGTGGGTTGATGTTCCTCCTCCAAAAGCAGGAGGTATTTGCCGTGTGTTACAAGGTCACCTAGAAAGCACATTACTTAAACCGTTCAACTGGGGAGACACTTGGGGAGAAAACAATTTGTAAGCTTAGAAAAATTTGCTACCATGGAGAGAAAGAAGTTCCCTTTCTCCCTCTCCCACCTCAGCTTGTGTTAAAGTCAGGCTTCTGTGTTAATGTCATTCATTCACTGAGAAAGATTTTTTAGCTGATTCAGTAGTGTGGAGCCTATATATTATAACCTGATGAGTCTGCACTGCCTGCAACTGACAAAAAAATGGAAATGGGATTTAAGAATCATTAGCCTCATTTTTCAGGATGGTAGGAAAACTGGGACTTAAAACATAGTGCCTAAAACTTTAGTAAACTTACCTATTTAAGTTTTGTTTCGCATATCAGATAATAAGCCGTAAACGTTTTCCCACCTTCGGCTTCCTTGGTAAACACACTAAACTGTTTCTTCACGGGAACACCACAGAGACACTGGCACGAAGGCCCCGTTCAAACCCTAACACTTGTGTGCGTAGGGGTGTCGCTGACAGCGCCCGCATACAGACCGTGCCCTTGCCCGTCGCAGAGTTCAAGGGCGTGTGGGCTTTGGTTTCCACGCAGAGTGACTGTGGCGAGGCCTGCCTTCACTCCCTTGATGGTGTTTCTCATGGATGTTGATGCTTCCACTGTGACAAGAACCACACACCTCGCCTCTGATGGTGAATCTCTCAAGGTTTTGCTCAATATGGCTATTCAGTTTTTTTCTTATTTCCCAGTAAAAATAATCTTGTCTCTTAGCAAAATTTTCAGTATCTCATGACTTATATATTTTGCTTTCCAGATCAGACTTGTTAAACTCATGTAAACGTTTGGGATTGCTGATTAAAACTACATTTGAGTCCTGGATATGAGTCACTGCGTTTCTTACGGCTGCGACGACTCGGGTTTCCCTCCGGGTCGTGGTGAGGCTGCGCTGCTTTTGCTAATGAAAAATAATGAGAGAGGGGCCGCTGGCTCCACGTCCCTCCAACCACATTCCTGCCTTTTAATGACTTTTATTGACCAAAAAAACAAACAAAAGTAAAAAGCCCGAAAAAAGGAGAAAGAAAACAACACCTAGGCTGTAACAGAAAAGTTTCTTAGAGTCCCTGAAAAGCCACCTAATACTGAGAGAAATTCCCGGAGAAAATGTTGGAGGGAGGCTTACATTACTTATTAGAATAATGAGGAAAGAAGATGTGTTTGAGGTGGATGGTTTCAAATCACACTTTTATGAGATGGTTTCTCTGGGTCTCCACGGAAGACTTCTGTGAGCCTCTTCTCATAAACAAAAAGGCCAAATTGGCTGAGATGCACAGCTTATATTTTGTTATGTGGATTACTATTTGCAAAGAATAAGCCAAGACCAATGAATCTATTTCACTGAGGAGTGGAGACTGGAATAGAGCAAAGTCCCAAATGGGAGTGATCAATACTTGATTTACTAAGACAAGCCCTAAAAAAAGAGAGTCAATAGCTGGTTATATTTTTTATACCTATTTCTCTGCTTGGTTGACATTTATTCATATATGTAATAGTATGATCTAAATAAATATTTTAAACTATATACTAATCTATCTTAAAATTCATGTTGTAATGAATATGAGAAAATGCCAGCCTATGATGTGATTGTATATCCCGTTTTAAACTCTAAGGCAAATCTTTGAGGTAATCTTAAATCTTGACACCCAGTCCATAGCATATTCCATAGTTTTATACCAAAATGCAATTAACAATATTATAAAAGGATAAAAAAGATATCCATTAGATAGTGCATTTTTTATTGTGATCTTTAGCCTATAATTTAATCCCCTTTATAAGTTTCTTAAATTCCGCAGATGATTTGCTTTTAGAGCAAGGACTTAAATAAATGAAAGGTCAAACACAACAAATGAAATATGAAAGTTGTAGAAACTCGTCACCTGTGAATTACGCAGAAAAAGAGGCAGGAGATGACGTGCTTCTCTCTGGAATCACGCTTGGGGCCTCCTGCCTGAAACGTATTTGCTGGAGAGGAAGGATCCACCCTTTTCATCTGTTTTCAGGACCTGCCCTGCTCAAACAGATGATGATTAAACTGAATAGGATATGGGCTCATTTGTCTGTAGGACTATCACCTGAAAGAGCAAGCTTTGCTTCGTAAGGACAGTTTGTGGAAGTGGCGTCTAAAGTATCAGATACAGCTCTGTGCCCTTGCCAATCCTAGGGGGGACTCGGAAGATAGATGGGTGGGTAGAAACCTAGGTTCATAGATGCAGCCAACAAACCTATGTACATAGATAGGAATCAAGTCAGGACTCAGAGAAGCCAGCTACAACTCTGACTGCACCAGGGTGATCCCAGAGAAGAAGTGCTCAGAAATTTCTTTAATTCCTTAAAGAAAAGAAAAAAAATCATTCCTGTACTTGCATCTTGATTTTCAAGAAAGAAAAAAGATAGCCTGTACCATGACACACATAGAAAATATTCTACCCTACAACAGTGAACTGTTCATGAGACACGTTTGATCTGTTAAAAGGTTAGTGGGAAGCGTACAGTGACAAAAAAGGACAGACTATGATTTCAATACCTTGAGACCATGGAATTTTTGCACCATGGTTTATGTCCCTGGATATGTTCCAGTGTCTCCTAGTTTACAGTCTATGAGAACTTGACTTTGTATCCTAGTGTTGTGTGAAAATTATATAAATCTTAATGATGTTGAATTGGTTCATGGTGCTTTTCAGGTCTACTATATCCTCCTACTTTTCTGCATATTCATTCTGTTAATTTTTGAGAGTTTGATACTGAAACTCCGGCTAAAACGCTTCATTTATTAAGTAATTGTCATACATAGTGGAACTATACGTGAAGGACTGGGAAGCCTGGTGTGCTGCAGTCCGTGGGGTGGCAAAGAGTCAGACATAACTTAGCAACTAAACAATGAACAACAATATGTAACTTAGTTCTGTATTTCCTAAGCCTCCTGTAAGTGTGTTATTATACTTTCATAATTTAGAAAATAGAGAAAAAAGTTACTAGGAAGCAAAATAAGCCACGAGGTTACCTGGAAAATGTATTTGAATCTTATTATAATATGGCTTAGTATTATGGAACAAAATTTCAAGGAACCGTGGGTCAAAATTGTATACCTTCCTGCAAACATACTAGCACAAAGCAGAAGCCTGATACAGCAGGGTAAGCCATTCGAGTAGAATAGGGTCGTGTTCTGTTGAACCACAGTGTAGGACCAAGTTTCCTAAGTGCAGACTTGGTTGATCTGTGATGCAGCTCAGAGGCACACAGGTCTTTCCTTAGAGCAGAGATTCTAGCGACTTCTTTCTCCTTTCAGGATTGTTGCTAAACCAATATCTAAGGAATGCAGGTTACATAATGAAATGTTGGCAGCCCAATGTCAGCTAATTAAGAGCCTGCCTGGGAGTCAGAAAGATCCTGTAAGTGACAAGTGAAAATGTTAATACCAGTCTCAAACTTTTTTGAGCAGAGAAGTTGGTGCCTTAAGACTACCAATGCCTTCTGCCACTCCATGTTAGGGGTTTGCCCAAAGCTGCTCTCTGAACCAGTGGGGATTTCTCTGCTGTGTGATCTGATGGCAGCCGATGAAAGGTGCTAATAATCCCAGGGGGACCGTTGTCCACAGAGAGAGAAGAGTGCAGTCAGGTGATCTCCACTGTCTGATAGAAATGATCTTTATGGCTTTGTTGTTCTTCATCAAAGGACCTTGATTAAGCACCTTCATGCCCTGTGGTTTGTAGAAGAAAGCAGAGAACCAAAAAATAGACTATTTGGTCCCCATTAAAAATGGACCCCATTTAAAGCAACATGGTATTAAAACAGAGCGAGATCTAATACAAATGCAGCTTCAATAAGTGTTATTAAATTATTAGACCTTTAGGTGAAAATATACCCGTGAACTGCCTTTATATGCAATCAAAGCTGTGATTAAATATTAATGCCCTAAGATTAAAGGGTCACTTGAGTAGGTTTTTTTAAGCAATACCCCCAAATGGTGAATAGGAGATGTTGCAAATTAGCTGCCTTTTGTATACTTTGTGGGCGCTAAAACCTGGACCAATTTTGAGGGTGAAAACCACCAGGGTGTGGTCCAGCCGTGCATGGGCTGAGGCCCTGTGTGCTGGAAGTGTGTTCTTCCCTGTCAAACCACAGAAGGCTCATCCGGCCTCGCACCTCCTCCTGTTGCCGTGTAAGGTCCTTTCGCAGGAGGAGAAGCGTCAGAAGCAGAGTTTGTGTTTCATAAAACCCGAGGACGAGCTGCTGACTGTCCGTAGGAACTAAGGATGTGAGACCTTCAGTCTTGAGAAAGGAACATTTGCTTCTGGCTCAGAAATCCTTTTCCTTCTCCTCGGCATCTGGGGCCAGGTCCACCAGAGACCCCGCCCCGCTCCGGGCAAGGCCGTCACGTGGCCCAGGCAGGGCCCCCCAGGCAGGTGAGGGGAGCAGGTCCGGGGGAGTGGCCCCTCGGGGGGGTCCTGCGTCCTTGCCCTGAGCTGCCCCGGCCCCTGAGCCCAGCTGTCCTTGACCTGAGGCCCCGGGGAGCAGGCCCCTCTGCCGGCCAGCCTGTGAGGCTGACGGACAGCCGCGGGAGTGGAGGGGCGCCCGCCAGCTTCTCCGGCCCGTTCCCGTTGGTCTGAACCCGGGAGCCAGCCCGGCTCACGGCCCTGCTCTCATCTGGCTGAGAAATGGAGCTTCGGTCCAGGTGGCCTTGGCAGCCAGCACGGCGGCCGGACGCTTGGCGCCCCGTCCCGCGTGGGGTCCCTGCGAGGCAGCCGGCACCTTCCCGACCCCCCGCCTGCTCTCCACATGCCTGGTCTTGCCCTGCCCGGTCTTGCCCTGCCCGTCATCGTCCTGGGCCCAGCGGGCCCCTGGGTGGAGCGGGCACCGAGAGGCATCCAAGGAAACGTGTCCCTGACCATGGGCACAGTGCCTTCCACCCCGCGGAACCAGAACCCGACGTGGGAACGGGGGGGCGTGTGCGGAGGGAGACTGCGCCGGGGTCTTCGGCGTGAGCGCTGATGTCCCCCCCGGGTGGACCCGGGCTGGGCTCTGTCGTCCTCCCGCGAGGACCACCTCTTCCGGGGTGACCGGCCCCTGGGAGTGGGGCAGCGGGTGCAGAGAGGGTGAAGTCCCGACTGGAGGCTGGGGAACGCCGACGGTAAACACGGCCAGCGACAGCTTTCGGAAGACAGGTTCCCTGGCCCGCGGCCTTGGGTGGGCTTGAGAGAAGGGGTCTGGTACGAGAGCATCTGAGGCTGAAGAAGCAGAGACGCTGAGGAGGAAGCTGGAGCCCAGCTGGCGGGTGCCGAGGATGGAGGTGTTCTTGCCCTGCCCACTCGGGGACAGCTCGGTGCAGGGGCCTCCGCAATCCTCAGCTAAGGGACAGAGACCAGCCCTACCTCAGGCGGCTCTTGGTTTTGCAGGGGGACCAGCAGGAAGTGTGGGGCCCCATTCTGGCCCCAGGGCCTCCACTCTGCACCCCCGGGGCCAGGCAGGGCTGGGCATCTTAGGAACCCTGCCCTCTGGGCTTTCCTAGAACTGCGACCTCCTGGGCTGTGCTGGGGCCATGGGCACTGCTTGAGTGTCAAACCAGGCGCAAGCTCCGATGGTGGAGCCGCTTCATCTCGTTTGGGTAAATTTCAGTAAGGGAGAGGGCACTTCGTTTTTATTTATTACCTTAGGTTCTTACAGAGCGGAAGGTCCGGGAGGAGATGGGCGCTCTCGGATCCCCTTAGAGTCTCTGTGTCGGATGACGCCCCTGGACCAGCCTGCATCCTGGCGGCCCCCCAGCCGGGAACCCTCCCTTATCCAGGGGTGGCGGGGTGGACCTCCAGCCTCGCTCTGCTGCTCTATCTGCTGGCCCCACGTCCGTGCTCGTGAGCCCCTGCGTGCACGTTGCTAGTCTCCTCCTCATCTGGGAGACCACATTTGAGACCACCGAAGTGTCCTGCCGTGCACTGGCTCTCCCTTTCTGGGGTCCACGGGGCCCATGCTGAGGGAGTCCTCTGTCCTCTGAAGGCTCAGAAAGCATGGTTCGGACCAGAGCAGGCGGGGCTGGGGCAGGCGGGTGCCCAGGGTCACCTCAGTCTGCCCTGCCCAGGGCAGCTGCAGAGAAGGGCATTTCTGCCTCTTTAACTTGCCTTTCCTTTTTAAAACCAGACAAGACAGGGAATCCCCTGGTGGTCCGGCGGTTCGGACTCCATCCTTCCACAGAAAGGGGTGCAGGTTCGATGCCTGATTGGGGGAACTAAGATCCCTCATGCCATGTGGCCAAGAAAAAAATCCAGGCAAAACAAAGTGAAAAAACACAAGAAATCCCCTATGTTCCTTCTTATAAGTAAAAAGAAATACATGTATTTGGAAAATATAGATTAAAAAAAATGAGAAAATAAAACTTTTCTCAGCTTCATCACTCAGCTAATTGTTCATCTCACATATGTATGTCTGTGTACACGTGTGTACACGTGTGTGCACACGTGTGTGAATTAGACATCGTCCCTCCTGCTTGTGAGTGGCCTTTGCCCTCAACATGCGGTGAGCTCCTTTCCCTGTCGTCTCATCTCCTTCAACACCATGACTGACAGCTGCGAAGTGTGACCTCGGGTATCACACACACCACATTCGTTTAGTCTCCTGTGTTGGGTCGTTTAGATTATTTTCAGTATTTTTATCATTGTGAAAAAGACGGAGGTGAGTTTTGGTAACTGCACGCATGTGTGCTGTTGTGTCCAACTTTTCGTGACCCCACGGACTGTAGCCCGCCAGGCTCCTCTGTCCATGGGATTCTCCAGGCGAGAATACTGGAGTGGACTGCCATGCCCTCCTCCAGGGGATCTTCCCAACCCAGGGACCAAACCCGCATCTCCTGCCTCCTGCATTGGCAGGCTGATGGTTTACCACTGAGCCACTTGGTAGCCAAGTCTTTAGCATATTCAAGGAAATTTCCTGTGGATGAATTTCTAGAAGCAGGATTTCTGGCATTAGCACATGTGAAGCGCCAGAGTCTCTGTGTGGCCCTTGCGAGGCGGGCACTGTCGCCATCAGCCTGGACCAGGTTCCTCGTGGTCCAGGGAGGCCTTAGAGAGCCTTGAGTCTCTGGTACCCACGATGCCCTTGGAGTCCAGGACGGTGCTGTCCTCCTGGGGAGATCTGGCGTCCAGGAGCGCCATGCCCTGCTTGGCAAACTCCTACATCTTCACTCCAAAGACAACAGAACCTGCCTGACGAGGTTCCCAAGCCGTGGACTGGAGCCAGTCACCCAGAGTCAGGCTGAGCCCTGCCATACCCCACCCCATCTGGTCCCCGGAGCGCTCCACTGCTCTGGTAACTGCAGTCCCGGTGATTCTTCCAGACCCTTCCATGGGCACTGGAGGTGTCACCCTCAGACCACCTGGTTCAGAAACACAGTTACCGCCTTCACTTGAAGGTGAAGCAACCAACGTCTAGGACCTCCTTGGTGGTCCAGTGGTTAAGACTTTGAGCTTCCACTGCAGGAGGCAAGGGCTCAAGACTTTGAGCTTCCACTGTAGGAGGCAAGGGCTCGATCCCTGGTAGGAGAAGTGAGATCCCACAGGTCGAACAGAGCAGCCAAGAAATAAGGGAAAGAAAACCAGGGTCTGGAGAGACATTGTGACCAGGGTCAAAGGCCCAGGTGTCCCTACTGCAGGGCCAGGGTGCCTCCCTGGAGGGCCCCCGTGTCAGACCCAGAAGCAGGTCTGGGGCCCCTGGGCAGCCCCGCCCAGTGATCGGCAGGAGCAGGACCGTGGGGGCAGCCCTGCAGCTTGTCCGCAGGCGACATCTCTCCTCAGGACCACAGCAGGGACATGGTGCCAGTGAGAGGCGGGTGGGTGGCGGCTGGGTGGTGAGCGGGGCCATGCCATCCTGTTCAGGTTGCCAACACAGCCGGGTGCTGCTGGCTGATGTGACCACCGGTGCCAGCTCAGCCAGACCCGGGAGGAGTGGCCCAGACACCATCCTGCAGAAACCGGCCGCTCTGAACACGGGCAGGTCACGAAGTCACCCCAGGTCAGCCCTTCAGCCCTCAGAGTCATTTCCCTGATTCACCACTGCAATAGGAGCACTGTCAACTTTCCCTTCTTTTGCCCTAAAGAGCTGCTTGACCTGTAGCCAACACTCAACCCCCTTAGTACCCTCTAGGCAGAGCCTATTAACCTTTTTTTAAATGCCACGGGAGCCCTGGGAGCCCTCCTTAGGCCAAGATGTTTAAATGCTTAAAGCAAAATACACAAGACCTCTAGGAAACCAATTAGATTTAAAATAGTTATAAAATACCCCTGTGATGTATGCTTCTTTACTGATAGGTTAACTAACGAGGTCTCAGCACCGATTTTGAAGCAGCAGACACAGCAGAAACTGTATTATTATCTGTAACTGCAGCGCCATACAGAAGTGTCTGTGGTTTACACTGCAACAGTGTCACAGGCGACGCAACCCTTGCCATAGCATCATTATGCCTATTTCATAATGAAACCAACTGGTCCGTTTTAGTTAGAGATAGATGAGGAGAACAGGATGGGTTTTTCCCACCCAAACGCACGGAGCCCAGGTGAGTAACTCCTGCCCTAAAGGAAATAGAAATAAGCAATCTTGTTGAGAGGACAAATGAGGAACGGAGGGGCTAACTGTTTGGTCCAAGGCCACACAGCAAGTTAGAGCCCCACTGGGGCTCCTGCCAGAAGTGCTGACCAGTTGGTCTGGCTCAGCCTCTCCCCGCCTTATCCTCCAGTCCTAAAGTGATCCCAGGCTTCATCCTGAAATGCTTCCCAAAAGATCAGTCAACTGCATTTACTACTATTAGTAAAGGTACAAAATGGTTTCAAAAGCACTTTGTCATTCAGTCACTCAGTCGTGTCCGACTCTTTGTGAACCCATCAACCACAGTACATCAGGCTTCCCTGTCCTTCACCATCTCCTGGAGTTTGCTCAGACTCACGTCCATTGAGTCGGTGATGCCAACCAACCATCTCATCTCATAGGAAAAATTTTATGGATAGTACAAAGCCCAAATCTGAACCCCATAAACAGACTTGTTCGATCCAGGGGGATTAGAAGATTGATTTCATCTGAGAAACACTTCAAAAAAGCCAACCACCAGTGCTTTCTTTTGGGAGCACTCAAATCAGTAATGAGACTCCTTGAAGAAATCCTCCAGACCACTGTTCAGATTTAACGGAAGTATTTACAAACAAGTCAATGGTAAGCTCCGCTTATTTATACTTTGGTGGCAAAGGGCGATGTGACCGTAAGGTCTTTGGGTCTTGTGTTGCCAGAATGCTTTACAAAATGAAGCACACTGGGGGACAGTGGGCCCCTCAAATAGACTAACCTCATACATTTCCAGAAATAAATATCGGGAAGATGGGGACTTTTCTGGTGGTGCAGTGGGTGAGACTCCGCCTGCCAGTGCAGAGGACCTGGGTTCCGTCCCCGGTCCGGGACGATCCCCCATGCCGCCCAACTAAGCACGCACACCACGGCGACTGAGTCTGTGCGCCAGAGCCTGGGAGCCGCAGCCACTGAGCCCATGAGCTGCAACTCCTGAAACTCACGAGAGCCCGTGCCCCGCAACAAGAGAAGCCACCAGAATGACAGCCCTGCACACCGCAACCGGATAGTAGCTCCCACTCACTGCAGCAGCCACGAAGACCCAGCACAGCCCCGAATTTAAAAACAGGGGGAAAAAAAAAGAGACTGGGACAGGACATGGTGATTTCCTCACCTAACTGACCATCGGAATGAAAAGCGGGCAATTGGACATTCTCCCTTTTCATCCATCAACCGTAGAACTTTCCCCCGGAGTGTCCCTTCTGGTCACGTGTTCCTATCTCCCAGGGCAGCAGAGTTAGTGACTGATGGATGGTCTTGCCTCCATCGCCTGGGATGCTCTGAGTGTCCCAGCGAGCTCTCAGGGAGGGAGCTGACATCCACCTGCCACTTCCGTGGGGGCATCTTCTACTGTGCTACCTCCCGCTGGCGTTTGCATCTCTGCTGCTTCACCTGTCACCACACTCACTGCCCCCAACCTGCCACCTCCTGCCCAACTCCTGCCCTGGGTCCTCCAAGCTTCACAGACCAGGAAGGCTCCTAGCCTGCCTCCAGCTGCCCCCCATCCTCCTCTCTCAGCCCAAGTTCGGCCCCTTCTTGCTTCTCGGTCTTTCTCTCCAGTGTTGACCCGTCCGGCTCTCTCAACATTCTTCCTCCTCCTCCGGGGTGTCTGGATCCCCATATTAGGGTGTGGCTCTGTGTTTGAACAGCAGGCTGACTATACTGGGAAATGCTCGCCATAAATCTTGTAAACCCGCCTCCACTTGTCGCCACGTTTTTTCCCCATCGTGATGAGGATTCTTAGGCTGGCTCTCCCAGTCGCCTTCCCCTAGGCAGGATTGTTCGCTCTGGTCATGAAGGTGTACACCACACTCTTTTCGCGGTGTGTGTAAATACCGAGTGTTTACACTGTACACCCGAGGTGAGCATAATGTTACCTGCCAATTACATCTCAGTCAAAATAAACACATGATAAACGAGGCAGGTGACAGGTGCTGGGGAGAGAGCTTGTAACAGAGGGTCGGACCCAGCAGACCTCGGCCTCCGAGATCGTCTTCCGTCCTCCCTGGGCGCAAAGGCCCGGCTGGACGGTGGCTCCGCCCCGCGGTTCTGTGAATTTCGCGACGCCTCCGCCCAGGGTCACGCACGGAAGTATTTGTCATCGCGGCGGTTTGCGGTCCTCAACCTGACCTCTCTGGTCTGCTCGTCTCGGCCGTGTTTCTGTCCCCACGTCCCCACATCGGGCGACCCGTCCTCCCTCCAGGGCCCACCCCCACGTCCCGGGAGCCCCCAGGCCTAGCAAGGCCTCCCCCGCCCGGCCCTCGCCCCCAGCTCAGATGCTAATCGGCGGCCCACTCCTCTCCCTGCGCCCCCTCTCAGCCTCTCAGCCCCCTCGGCCCTTCCAGGCTTTGCTGGGTTGTCTCCTCTTTTTTCCCTTTGTTGCTGTGGGTTCCCCAGACTGTTTGCACATTTAAAAAAAATTTCCGTCTTCCATGTCAGCGCGTTCCCTCCTGCCACATCGAGGCCACAGCCCTGTTTCCTGCAAGCGCGTGGATGCCTGAGGCCCACCATGGCAACGTTGGAAGGGACCGGAAAGCGATGCCTCGGATCAGCCCCTCGGCCAAGACTTCCCCTCCTTGTTAGAGGAGGAGCCAGAAGGAGCGGCCAGACTCCGGGGGTTGGGGGCAGGTGGAGAAGGTTCTGGACACCCAGCCCTGAGTCCAGGTGCTTGGGTGGCACTCCTCCGGGCGTGCTGGGCTCTGGGGCCTGCCAGTGGAGAAACAACTCTTTGCTCTTTGTGTACTGAGTCAATTAGGTCGTGTCTGACTCTTTGCGACCCCATGGACTGTAGCCTGCCAGGCTCCTCTGTCCATGGGATTCTCCAGGCAAGAACACTGGAGCGGGTAGCCATTCCTTTCTCTAGGGGATCTTCCCGAGCCAGGGTTCAAACCCGCATCTTTTATGTCTCCCGCATTGGCAGACAGGCACTTTACCCCCAGTGCCACCCTCTAGTGTTGCTAAAAAAAAAAAACAATTAGCAGGCAACTGGAAATACCTCCTTCATGTCACGGAGTGGTCCTGATGCGGCAGCTTCAGGCCTGGCCCAGGGCCCCGGCTGCCCTTCCCGCAAACACTACTGACAGTCCCCCTTCCAGGACATCAGCCTCCTGACGTGTGAGCCCCCTGTAGCCTCCGGTCCCCGCCCTGCCTCGCGGCTGGGGCAGGGCGCGTCCTGGCTCCGGATACTGATTAGAAATGTAAAAGGAGCAGCTGCCCTTCTCGTCTCTCTTCGGGGTGCGCCCCCGTCCCTCCGCGGGCCAGCCCCTCCCACTGCGCACAAGAGCAGGGCAGCCAGGCGTGCCGGGGGTGGGGCCCGCTAGCGGCCCCTTCGCCCTTTGCCTTCTGGTGGCTTCTGAACCATGAAGTTCTGGTCAGCGCTGCTCAGGACCATCCCTGGAGTGGGAGTTGGGGGAGGGAGGCAGGAAAGGACCCTGGGGGAGCAGCTGGGGGGGAAGGTCCTGAGCTCATGTTTCCTGTTTGGAAGCATCCCTCCTTCCCAGGGACTTGGCGCCGACCCAGGCTTGGGATGGAAAGGCTGGCTGAGAACACAGCGACGCTCAGCCAGAGAGCGTGGTCCTTGACCTGCGGGGACGCCCGCCTGGAACCTTGGTCCTGCTGGCCTGTGCCGGGTGGGGCAAGGGGAGGGCTGCTGTGTGGGGCCCCTCTGCCCACTCCAGGGAGGACACTTCGGGTCCTGGGGCAGTGGAGAGATAAAGGCCCGAACGGGAGCCAGGCTGCCCCCAGCACCACTGTGCCCGCTGACCCCGCTGCCTCTTGGGCTCCTTTCTTGGCATTCACCCCCCAACACCCGGGTGCAGGCCTCATGTCTTCTCTCCTGGCCCCTTTGAGGCCTTCCCTTGGAGGCCACCCCTCTGCAGCCCACCCTTTATCTGCTCCAGGGGCCTCTCACCACCGTCCCTGATGCTGCCCCCGCCATCAGGCCCTGCCACCACCTTCAGCGTCGCTTTCTGCGGCCAACCTTTTGGCCTGGCAGGTGGTTCTGACTGCCTGGGCATGCCCGCCGCCCCCGCCCCCGGCGTCTCTGACCCCACTTCCACACGCACGAGTTCTCACACGGCTTCCCTGCCCAGGATCCTGGCAGTGGGGCGGTCGCCGGGGGCAGGACAGAAACACAGACAAAGGGACAGGGGTGCGTGGGCTGGGGCTGGACGCCCGAGTCCCAGGCAGTTTCCATCGCAGGAACGCATGCCTGCGCGTTCTGGCCCCGCAGGGGTTGTCTGTCTGTCCAGCGGCCCTCCCCGTCCTGCCCAGGGCTTGCGCATCAGGCCGGGGCTGGGGTGGGGCTGTACCCCTCCTCAGTGTCCCCCGCAGGGATGCCGGGGAGGTGGAGTGAGGCCAGAATCATCAGAGCCCCACCGACGATGGAAGCACCAGCAGACGGGAGCGCCGCGCTACTGGGCGGAGTGTGACTTGGGGCCGCAGTGGCCACGGCAGCTGGAGCCCGGGGGTCGGGAGCGCAGCTGCGGGGGTCGCAGACAGGCCAGTGGCCGGCAGGCAGGGACCCCAGCCCAGCTCAGAGCTTGGGCTGGCGGCGTTGTGTGGGCGGGGAGGGACCTGAGCTGGGGGCTGAGCCAGCTCGCCGGGCCACCCCTGGGGGATGCCGTGACTGCAAGGGGCCTCCAACCCGTCCTTCACCGGTTAGTTCTACAGATAGCATGCATACTAAGGATCCGGCGCTAGTAGCACAGCGGAGACCCACAACCGTCCCCCGGAATTCCTTCTCCCTTCACAGCCCCACCTCTGACCCCAGCAAGCGGCTACCCCCCAGCCCCCCAACCTCCTGTGGGAGGGAATCCTCTAAGGGACTGTGAGCTGGAACCCTCGGGCCGCCTCCTCCAGGCTGTCCTGCCACCTCCGGCATCATCTACACTGGGAGGCCACGTGCAGTCTGGACCAGTCAGACGGCGGGGAGGCCCCTGGCGAGGGCAGTGCCCAGCACAGAGGGTACTGCCCAGTGCAGCCAAGAGCTCCGCGAACAGTTCCCTTAATTACAATTAAATAAAATTAACATTCAGATCCTCCGCTGCCCTGGTCACGTTTCAGAGGCCAGACAGGCACATGGGCAAGTGGCTTCCACGTCGGCCAGCATGGGAAGCCCTCCTGCACCGTGCTGGGAAGCAGCCTGGGTCTCCGCACGGCCCCTGGGGACAGAGCTGCCTGGGGATCTGGGCCCTGCTGGCGGCAGAAGGGTGTCCAGAGAAGTGCCTTCCGCGTCCTGTGCAGAATGCCCTGCGCTTGGGGCCTACTTGTTGTAACGCTCTGTCCTCACAGAGGTAGATACGCTGCTGGGAGTGTATACACGTGATGGATGTATTTTTCAGCGGATACATGTGTACACATACATAAATTATGCCTCAGATGCATGCAGGTGCTGACGTGGTTGATAAAATGTCATTTAAAAGCCCCATGGAGGGCTTCCTTGGTGGCTTGGTGGTGAAGAATCTGCTTGCCAGTGCAGAGGACACAGGTTCGATCCCTGGTCCGGGAAGACCCCACATGCCTTGGAGCAACTAAGCCCGTGAGCCACGACTGCTGAGTGGAGCTCTAGAACCCTGAAGCCACGACCCCCGAAGCCCACGCGCCCTGGAGCCCGAGCTCTGCGCCAAGAGACGCCCCCGTGACGAGAGGCCCGCACACGGCAGCTAGAGAGAAGCTCACACGGCAGTGAAGGTCTAGGACGACCAAATATGAATCAACATAAAATTGTTTTTAAAAAAAGCCCCATGGAGCTGGAAGTTGTTTTTTTTCTGTCTACCTTTTCTCAGAAAGCACTACAACGGTAACAACCATTAGGCTGCGGATCTAATCTTCATATGTTAAAAAGAGAACTTTTTGCCTGAAAAGGCCGGGAATCACTGACCCAGATGAAAGGATGGGTCGGGCTGGAAAGGAGGAGGTGGGGTGTGAGTTCCTTCGAGCCGGCGTGAAGAGTCGTGTGGGCACGACCAGGCTCTGACCGCTGGCCCTCTGTCGGGGGACAGGCAGGCCCGGACTGGCTCTCAGGGCAGACGTTCCAGGCACGGGAGGCAAGCAGGCCGTCTGGCCTGGGCCTGCAGCCGGCCATCCCAGAACGGATGAAGAGAGCACCATCAATGGGGAAACTGAGGCACAGACCGAAGCCCGCCAGCTCCCACACTGGGCAGTGAAGGGGCTGAGATCCAAAGCCAGGCCCTGCCCGCGGCCTCCGCAGAGCCCGCCTGGTGGGGGAGAGGACCATGCCGTCCCCCCAGGAGTGAGACCTCCCGTTACCCAGGTCTCCCGGTCAGCCCCGGCCCCCGTTCAGCCTGTCAGATTACAGGCACCCGTGCTCCAAGTTCTCTCTGATGTGTGAACACACCCCCTGGGAATTCACAGCCGCAGCCAAGAAATTAATTTGCAGAGGTCACCCAGCACCCTCTGCTGAACGGGTGAAAGCTCCCGGGCCTGCCCAGGGCCTCGGTGACAGGGACCCGCAGAGCAGCGCGCTCCCCCCCGGCAGGCCTGGGACCCCAGGAGCAGGGTCTCTGGGTCACAGCACCTGGTTTGTGACGAATGGCATCAGAAGACCCCTCCTTGACCCCCATCCAGGGCTCCACCTGACAGGCCTGGAGCAGAGAGCAGCCCTGGAAGTCCTCTCGGAGAGACGGGAGTGGGGCCCTGGTGGGGCTGGGGGCCACCGGTCAGGTCAGGGTTCTGGGGAGTCCCTGAACTTCCCAGAGTAATTGTGAGCTTAGAAGACAGACAACCCAGCAGGGGGGTGTGGGGGGCTGTGACGGAGTGGGCAGGGAGGGGGCTTGCCAGGAGGCAGAGCAGCCCGTGGGGAAAGCGCCAGCCCCAGGCGCGAGGGGACTTTGGAGGAAGCCCAGCTGTGTTTTGGGAAAGGGACAGCTGGCCGCAGGGACAGCTAAGGAGCCACTGGCTTCCTGAGTCGAGGAGACCCCAGGGGTCATGGAGGAGTGGCTCTGGGTGGCTGGCTGTCACAGGTGGACTGGGGTCCTTCACACCTGTGCCCAGAGGCCGCTGTTGGCCCTGGTGACCAGGGATCCAGATGGCAAAGGGGCCGTGCTCCCCTGTGAGGAGAAGGGCGCCGCCAGGGACCCCCAACAAGGCAAGTGACCCCCTGGGTCGCAGCTCAAGGAGGAGCTGGTGGCTGGAGCAGGGGATACGGGAGACCTGAAAGTCACCGTCGGGCCAGCAGAGTTGAGTGAATGGAGCCCAGAGCACAACTCAACATGTCTAGTAGCAGGAGGCGTCATGCATCGCAGTGAAAAGTGTGTGTGTGGGGTCCTGACCTCAGGTGGGGCTCACAATGGACATGGTGGGGGTGGTGGCCAGGTGGAGACCAGAAACCTTGGAGGAGTTATCTGGACACTGTCCTAAGTTGCTTCAGTCATGTCTCTTTGTGACCCCACAGACTGTATCCCACCAGGCTCCTCTGTCCATGGGATTTTCCAGGCAAGAATACTGGAGTGGGTTGCCATTTCCTTCTCCAGGGGATCTTCCCGACCCAGGGATCAAACCCATGTCTCTTACATCTCCTGCATTGGCAAGTTGGCTCTTTGGCCACTCGCACCAGCTGGGAAGCCCCTATCTGGATACGAGCATGTCCCAAGAGGAACAGCTGGCAAGCTCTAATTTGGCACTAACCTGGCCGGTCTGAGCCAGGTCTGTGGTGGAGAGGGTGGAGGGGGCAAAAGGACTTGGAAGGGCCGGAACGGTGGCCTGCCTGCAGCCCCACCCCAGTGGGCCCCTCCCACATCTGCTGCCCACACAGTTCCTTCCACCCAGGACCCAGGTTATCCGTGGATGCCTCCTGGAAGGGGCTGACCCGCCCCCAGCTCCAGGGAGGGCTCTGATTGGGCAGGTCAGTCACCACGTCACCTGGTCATTGGCTCAGGAAAAGCACAGAACCCGATGTGAGCCAGTGAGGCATCAAGATATGTTCACTGGGAGCCTCTGGGAAGGACCTTCCCTCTCTCCAAGCATGGGACCCAGGGGTGGGAGTCTTCTGGGTGTGAACCAGGAAGCTTGAGACTCCCATTTTGGCCAGAAGTCAAATTGTATCCATGCAAAAAGGAAGCATTAGGATGAAGCCAGCAACTTGGAAGTCAAAGGGAGAGATAAAGAAAGCCAGCCTTGGTGACATTGGTGAGCCTTGGTCAAGCCTCACCTGAAGCCATCTTACTGCTGGACTTTGGGGCTTGTGACTGAAAGCATCATGACACAGCTATAAATCCATTTTATATTAAATAGTGCTGAACGGCTGTTCAAAAAATTAAGATCATGGCATCTCTTTTAATGACTTCATGGCAAATAGGTGGGGAAACAATGGAAACAATGATAGGCTTTCTTTTCTTGGGCTCCAAAATCATTGCAGATGGTGACTGCAGCCATGAAATTAAAAGACACTTGCTCCTTGGAAGAAAAGCTATAACAAACCTAGACAGCATATTGAAAAGCAGAGATATTACTTTGCTGACAAAGGTTTGGTTTTTCCAGTAGTCATGTACAGATGTGAGAGTTGGACCATAAAGAAAACTGAGAGCTGAAGAACTGATGCTTTTGAACTGTAGTGCTGGAGAAGACTCTTGAGAGTCCCTTGAATAGCAAGGAGATCCAACCAGTCAATCCTAAATGAAATCAACCTTGAATATTCATTGGAAGGACTGATGCTAGAGCTGAAGCTCCAATACTTTGGCCACCTGATGCAAATAGCTGACTAATTAGAAAAAACTCTGATGCTGGGAAAGATGGATGGCAGGGGGAGAAGGGGACCACAGAGGATGAGATGATTGGATGGCATCACTGACTTGATGGACATGAGTTTGAGCAAGCTCCGGGAGTTGACGATGGACAGGGAGGCCTGTCCATCGTGCTGCAGTCCATGGGGTCACAAAGTTGGACACAACTGAGTGACTGAATTGAACTGCCAGGCTAGATGAATGAGAGTCTTATGTTTATAACAATATCTGAGATGCTGTTGTGATCAGTGCATTTAAAAACCTTACTTCATTCATCATCTAATTTTCCCCTTGTCGACTATCTCAGTGAACAAGTAGTAAATGACAGTGACCATCATGCTATGGCCCTCACATTTGGATGGTTAAAAGGCCTCCTGTTGCTCGTGAGAATCAGCTAGACCAACAAGGACAGTCAGAATTTGCATAGGAGAGGGGGAAAAAAATGTGATAGTCTTTGGAATCGTATCCTGATTTGGTTTCTTCTCTCTTTCCCAGATTGGAGGCCCAGAGCTGGGAGAAGGACTGCTTATCCTCCTGCAGAGTCTGGATTCTCTTCCCAGGCCCACGGCAGGGTACCAGACTGATCAGAGGGTCCTGGGTGCCCCCGTGACCCGTTCTGCCTTGATGCCTAGTTCCTGTCCTCAGGCCTGACACCCCCAGCCCCAGCCATGCCTCTGATGACGATCTGGCCCTGATTTGAGTCCTGGAAGGAGGGCGCTCCCCACATCCTGCTGACAGCGAGGCTCTAACCTCAAATGCTCTGAGCAGATGCCCAGTCAGTCCCCAAAAGCCAGCAGGAAAAGACTCCGACCTCCAATTCACTCCATCACGGCTTGATTTCAGGTCTGCAAGCAATTAGCATTTGGCATCAAACACAGTAACAGACAGAAGCTGCCCCCCACGTACACACAACTCACATAACACACACACACAATCAGGTATACGTGTGAGTGTGCACCAGTGGGTGTGCACCCACAAGCACCTGCATCCACACGTGGGTGGGCACACACAGGTCCACACGTGCACACACATGCATCGCATGGGCTGCATGCAGGTGTGCACATACACGAGACTTCCCACATGGGTGTGCATCTCACTCACAAGCTTGCATACACACCATACCAATGTGGGTATACACAGCCTCACACGGCACACCTGCGTCAGCCCTCCACATGTGTGGGATGCAGGACGCTTCTCCGCTCACCCCTCAAGATGCCTGTGCCCACCCCTGCCCACCGCCCAGCTCACACACCAGATAGAAGGCTATCAGGCCCCCAGTGAAAACTCTGGTATTTCCTCTGCCTCTAGGATATTTTTAAGTTTTCCAAGAGACAGTATTCTTGTATTGGAGAGAGGCTTGAATTAGGCTTGAATTAGGAAGTGGAAAACCCAGCCGTCCTTGAAGGCCTTCACGGGTGGGGCTCCCCAGGCAGCAGTGCTGAGCCGGGTGAGTGTCTTGCAGCTCCGGGGTCCACGTAGCATGAGGCTGGGGAGTGGCTGGGCTGTGGGGCAGCCACCACAGTGACCCCAGATGACCCCTGGGGGCTCTGGAGCCCATCTGACCCTTTGGAAGGGCCCACATTGCAGAGAGGGCGTGCAGATGCTCTAAAGCAGGCACAACTTGGGGGATCCATCGGCTCCCATCTTAGGGAGCACCATCCGCAGAGCTCAGCTGAGGCTGAGACAGACACCATGGGTCACAACAAACTGTCACCGCCCAGAATACAAAAGGGTTTCACAGAGCGGGTTCCCCTGCCTGGGCTCAGCCCTAGGACATGGGAGTCACCACGGTGACTGTGGGGGTCGCATCTTGACAGATGTTCTCAGAGACCGCATCGGCTTTAGCCAGCCCACAAAGAATGTGCTAAACAGCACAAACGGATTTTGTAATGGGTGAGGGATGGTGAGATGCCTGGCAACTCTGAATGACAGAATGGAAACATTTAGTTCAGTTCAGTTGCTCATTTGTGTCCGACTCTTTGTGACCCCACGGACTACAGCACGCCAGGCTTCCCTGTCCATCACCAACTCCCAGAGTTTACTCAATCTCATGTCCATTGAGTCGGTGATGCCATCCAACCATCTCATCCTCTGTCGTCCCCTTCTCCTCCTGCCCTCAATCTTTCCCAGCATCAGGGTCTTTTCAAATGAGTCAGCTCTTTGCATCAGGTGGTCAAAGATTGGAGCTTCAACTTCAGCATCAGTCCTTCCAATGATGCTAGGAGGACTGATGCTGGAGAAGGACTGATGCTGGAAGGATTGATGTAAACATTACCAAGGGCCAAGAATTTAAGTAGGGCTCAGGCACGTGCCTTACATGGAATATAAAATAGACACCAGAGCAGGGAGATCAGTGAAAACCCTCCAGAAATGGTCCCCAAATCTCAGATGTGGTCAAGGAAGGAACTTGAAAGGGGCCGTTTTCACGGGCTATTTTCTGTGCAGTACACACAGCACCCCAGAACTCTGCAGGACTCAGCGGCTCCCAGGAGAAAGCGTGTATCCTGCTCCTCAACCCATGAGTCAGCAGCAGTTCAGCTGCCCCGGGATGCGCTCAGCGGCGCGGCTGTGCACGGGCGGGTCCAGGGCTGCATCACACAGGGCCATCTGGAGTCCAGGCCACCTGGAGATTCAGAGTGCTGAAGTAAGCCAGCACTCTGCAAACATTTCACATCCAAAGCTTAACATCGAAGCAGTGGGCATGCACTCTATGCAAGGAGGAGGGGGAGGAAAAGTGAATATTTACTGAGAAACAGTCCTAACTATCAACAGACCTAGGCAAGGCTTTCTGTTGCTACAATTTTTGTTTCTGAGTCTTGCCTCATTTATGTTGAGATAAACGTAAGGTGCTGGCACCCCTGTATTGACCTGCAGAGATTATGTTTCCTTCACCTCTTCTTTTCCTGAGATCTCCTTGACTTTTCTACCAGGGCTGCCACTGCCCTCTGTGCAGATTAGAGAAAGGCTCCCCCACTGAGTAGAAGCCTTGATGAGTGGGTGGCACCTTTTTGCAATTTAGAAAAAGGCACCCCTTTCTTGAGGCGGATGCGGTTCTATGCCAGGACAGAGAGCTTGGCAAACAGAATACAGGGTGAGTTTTAACCCAACCATCTCAGAGGCTGTCGTTGTGCAGTGAGCAACCTACTCAACTGTACATGGCATCCTGTATCTGTAGCACGCTTCTAGCTCTGCACTAGCAAATAACACGAAATTGCACATGTAGGTCAATGGACGCCCTCTGAGAAACAAGAAGGAAAAGACTCGCGTTGCTTTCCATGTTCAGTAGTGTGCAAACACTTTATATTTCGGAGTGGAGGGCTCATACAAGCTCACTCAAGCAGATAATTTTCTCTTCCTGAGATAGTAGACACGAAAATGTAAATTTACTTGAGTTGGACAGTGTGACCCAGAGTGATCACAAAGAGGGTTGGGAATAGCAATACTGACGTTAGCCTTGAATATTTACTGTACAAAGAGTGTAAGAATAGTGCCAATGTCAATACATTCACATGCTGTTATAGGTGAGAACGTCCGATGACAGGGCATGTGGCACGGCTCAGCAGTTTTGAACCTAGCAGCAGATAAGCCTCTGTGCCAAAGACATTAATCACAATATCTTTAACCTCATTCTTAGCTTTGCCTTCTCAGCTCTGCAACTAGATGTCCACGTGGGCCCTCCTGCCCTTTCAGATCCTCCAGGGGATCTTCCCAACCCAGGGATCGAACCCAGGTCTCCTGCATCGCAGGCAGACTCTTCACCAGCTGAGCTACCAGGGACGCCCACACTGTAGATGTTAAACAGTTAAAACAATGGACATGCATCCTTTAGCGTCCCAGGGGCTGTCAATGTTTGCCCTTGAATCTTCCTCCTCATTCTGGGTCGATGCCCTCAGAGGGAGAAGTGGAAAAGGATGAGGAGCAAGAGGTAAAGGGTCACGGGCAGGGAGACCATCCCTGTTCTCAGGACTGGCCAGCCCCAGAGTCAGGAAGGACGGGCCGCCGTCACAGATAGGACTCACGGGGTTTCCGTTTGGTTGCTGGCCTGTGCAGCTCCGACAAATTAGCTGCATGTCTCACTGTCCTGTTGGCCTAACTCTCTGGGTCCAAAGTGAGTTGGCGGGCTGTGATCCATGGTCATTTAGGGGTCCAGGTTGGATGTGGGCTTGTTGCCCCATGAGGTCATGTCTAACCTGAGGCATCGAGAGCTGCAGAGATGGAAAAGGAAGGATGGGGGATCTCACGACTCACGAGCCTTGGACCTGAAGTCCCAGTGGGTCACTTTGCCCCAGGACCATTGGCCAGAACTACTCCACTGTCCCCGACCTGCCCACCGGGAGGCTGGGAGATGCCAGGTGTGCGGAATGTTTGGGGAGCCATCGCCCCACGATCCTCCCACACTCGTCCTGTGCCCCGGTGCCAGGCATCCACCGCCAGGGTTCCCTCCTTGGGAGCAGCCGTGCCTCTGCCTGCCTGGGACCCGCTTTAAAAACGCGATCGTTGCTGGGCCGGAAACCTCAGCTCTGCCGTTGCCAATGTGGCGGCTTTGGGAGGGTCAGCTATGCCCTCCGGGCCTCACGGATGCCTTCCCAGGAACAGGACTGTGCTCCCGGGGCTGCGGGACAGGACCGCAGAGAGCTCCCAGGAAGGTTCGCGCTGAGATAGACAGATGGTTGGGCTCAGGGTTTGGCAGGCCCCGGGGCGGTCAGAGGGTGGGACCCGGGTGAGCCGTGCCCAGGGAGGGCCCTCCGCCTGCCTTCATGGCTTCATCATGCACGGCCGGTCCTCCGAGAAAGTGCAGGATGCGGGGCCTCCATCTAAAGCTTCCCCAAGTGTTCCCATCAAACAAGCGTCTGTTCTTTGCTGGAAGCAGAGTCTAGAACACAGGGTGCTGGGTTTGTCACAGGACAGCAATGCGTCCCTCCTTTCCTGTCCCCAGTGCTGGCATTCTGCAGCCACGTCAACAGTGATGCTTCCAGTTTGAGAGGCTCAATCCTGACTCTGTGGATCCATGGCAGTGGACTAGACTCAGTCCCCCAGGAGTTGGCAAGATGGTAGAAACATCAGCCATGATAACAACTCCGTGTTAACAGGGGTCCTGGGCACCCAGCGAGACTCAGCACCTGCGGGGTGCCCAGTGGGATCCAACACTGCAGGGCCCCATGCAGGACACCCTCGACGTCTCCATCAGGGCCCTGCATGTCACCCCCTCGCTCCAGGTACCATTCTCAAGGCCTCCCGGGGCGGCTCTGGGGGACATCCCAAGAGCCCACAGGCGGCTTCTCTGCTTCCTTCCCTCCAGGTTTCAGAGGAGGAGACCGAGGCTGAGAGGGGAAAGGAACACTCTCAACAGGATAACTGCGCGCTACACCCTGGAGAAGGGGGTGGAAACTCACTCCAGTATTCTTGCTTGGAGAATCCCACGGACAGAGGAGCCCACGGTCTACGGGGTCGCAGAGAGTCAGACATGACCAGGTGACAACAGCAGCATGTGCGGCGCCCCCGGGAGACAAAGCGCCTCTGCATGGATTGTTCTACGGGAGGGACAGCGTCTCGCTGGGTCAGACGGATGCTGAAGTCGGGGGGCTATGTCACGGATGCCACGGACCAGCAGAGGAAGCTGAGGACCAGTGACTGGAGGACGAGGGCTCACCCAGACCCACCTCGTGTTCGCCGCCAGGGAGAGCTCCACGGCTCAGTCTCCTGACCCTTCCATGGTGGGAAAAACAGAGTCCATTGCAGGGGCTTTACTGGGAGATGGTTTAAGAGAATCCAGGTTACTTGTGGAGTACTGGCTGGACTGGGCTGAAGAGTGTCCCCCCAGAGTCACATCCATTCATGAACCTGTAAACAGGACCTTATTTGAAAATAGCATCTTTGCAGATGGACGTGAAGTTGAGGTCATGCTGAATTCGGGTGGGCCCTCAATCTGATGTCACTGGTGTCTTTGTGAAAGGGGGATCTGGACGTAGACCGGCACGTGGGGAAAAGACCGTGTGTGCCCACAAGCCAAGGACACCAGGGGCTGATGTACCGAGGCCAGCAGAGGTGAGGGACAGAACGTCCTGGAGCCGCAGGAGGGAGCAGCCCTGCTGGCCCCTGGCACCGACTCCTGACTTCCATCCTCCAGGACTGAGACAAACACCCCCAGTTTGCGATGCTTGGTTGGGGCAGCCGCAGGAAGCCAGGCCCTGAGAGGGACCTCAGCAAGCACAAGGGGTTCCCTGGTGGCTCAGACGGTAAAGAACCCGCCTGCAATGCGGGAGACCCGAGTTGAATCCCTGGGTCAGGAAGATCCCCTGGAGGAGGGCCCGGCAACCCACTCCAGTATTCTTGCCTGGAGAATCCCATGGACAGAGGAGCCTGGTAGGTTACAGTCCATGAGATTGCAAGAGTTGGACATGACCGAGCAACTAATACTGTCTTTCCAGCAAGCACTAGGTACAGTCATGATTTAAGACAGAAACACAATGGACCAAAAGGTTAGGTAGCCTGACTGCTGGCATAGGAAACCTGAAGGAAGAGCTGGGATGTCTCCTAAGGAAGCCTCCGGCTGAAGGACACGCTCACAAGTTGCTGAGAGAGACGGGAGGGGAGGTGCTTAGAAGGGTCTCCCGGGAAGCCCCTGGCTGCTGGTCACGGTGCTGCTTCCACCCGTACCAGCTGTGGGCTTATAGTAGCTGCAGTGTGGGCCTCTCGCCTCCTAACTCGAAGGGGCCTTGAGAGAATCGCGGCAGAAAGTGACATTCCTTAGTCCTGGAAACCAGGGGGCAGTTTGCAGGGTAGAGGCTGCCCCTCCCCCAGTCGGCGGCCAGCCACCTCCGCTGGGGTCCGGAGGGCCAGGGAGGGTCTTTCCAATGCAGGGCTGCAAGGCGAGCTTCAGTGAGAATCAGGTTTGATGCCCAAGCCAGAGGAGATTCTAACACACTCTGGAGCAGAAAGACAAGGAGAGCCTTGCAGATGGCTGCCACGGGCAATACCTGGCAGCCAGGTTCCTTGGGGGAGTTTAACCTTCTGCGACCTCACCGGCGAGCGCTCAAGCTCTGTCTGTTTCACAACGCAGTCAGAGGCACAGATACGCCTGAGAGCATCTCCAAGTTTTGCCAGGGCGGTTTTATTTGAGGCAGCCCTACAGGCTGACACCCCTCCTTCTCACCCACGGAACATCTTACATACGCACGCCTGCACAGCTCAGACGTCGAGCAGAGGCTGAGACTCAGGCAGCCAGGAACCTACTTCCTTGCTGCTAACCAGGGCAGTACCGAATGTACAGTCGGAGCTCGGCAAATAATTAATAGTAATGAAAATTGACGTTGTAAAAATTAAAGGGAGATAGCTGATGGAAAGGAATTGGTTTGGTTGTCAGACCCCAAGCCTAAAGGGAAACACATTGCTTTGGAGAATCTTTTAATTAATTCCAGAGTCGCCCTGTTTCTTCTCCGCCAAATGAGCTGAGTTCCTTTCCTGGGCAGGAGGCTCTGGTGCAGATGCAGGGAGGGACAGGGAGAGCTGAATGGTTATCAGGGATCATCCCACCTCCATCCGGAGCCTCCAGAATTTCCCCGCCCTCCCAGCAAAGAAAGCTCAAGGTGGGGGTGACCACGGAGTCGGCCCCAAGAGGGGTTCGTTTTGTAAATATACTTTTTACTACCTATGAATAAACCAGGAGGTCTACCTCATTCATAGCTAAAATAAAAATGGATCTCTACAGTCTGACCAAGTTCAGCCACTGAGCTGCGGCATTAACTTGTATTCTAACAAGATTAAAATATATTTGTCCTGGGGATTAGCATACTTAAGTCCCCTTTCCCCTTTGGAGCGGTGGCAGGGCACTTTGATCTGCCTTGCGTGGCGAGAGCGCGGCTTGGGCCCAGCTATCCGACTGCCAAGTGTGAAATCGGCCTGATGTCATCCTCAGTCTTCATCTTTTACATCTTCCACCAGTTTAATTATATTTCCGCCACAAAGCTCCAGCGCCTCATTGCATATTCAAGTTTGACTAGGAAGCATTTAAAAAAAAAAAGAGGTGCGAATGAAATACCCCTGTAGGGGGAAGGGAGGGAGCCACACCTCGAGGTGCAGAGGCAGCTACCCGGCCCCAGCCCTGGGTTTGCCCCAGACGCCCTCACCTGTGTGGAAATGTACATCCACCCGGCCAGTTCTGAGCTGGGCCGGGCGCCCATGTGGGGCTCCGGGGCAAAAGCCATTGTTACACCCGTGCGTGGCATCTGGGGTTACTGGCTTGTGACTCTGTGGGTCTGTGTTACATTCACTCCCCGGGAGCTGGTTCTGTTCCCCTGGCTCGAAATCCACCGGGGTGCTCCCTTTGCTGCATAAAAGCCACCTTCCTCTCGGCGAGTGAGCTGACGTGTCACCCAGGAATCGCCCACTTTGAGGCCCTGTGCAACCGCCAAAAAAAAAAGAAAAAATTGAGGCACTCTCAGTGCCTAAAAGGGCCGTGTCTGGCTGACGTCTGACCACCTCAAAGGAATCAGAGTTGAACTCTGCATCCCCATGCCGAGTTCTGGCCCTCAAGTCCTTGGCGAATTCCCCGGAACTGCTGGGAAGGCCAGCCTGACTGCAGAACAGTCCCTGACGTCCCGGGGTGGGGGGGCGCCTCCTAATACCTCCACCCCAGGGCCACCAGGCACGGCCCGGGGGAGGGGAACCTGGCCAGGCCTTGGTCCTGGGGGCACCCCTCCGCGGGCACTCGTGTCTGGGAGAGGAAGTGAACCCCCTGCAGGCGTGGCTGGCTTTTGGCCTTCACCCCAGGCCGCCAGGCTCTGCTCACACCCCCGCTGGAGTGTCTGGGAGATCTTGCGCTCCGCGGGGTCGCCAGTCTTTGGGCGTTACTTCCCCAAGCCAGCCGGACAGAATAGAAATGCAGATGGGCTTCCTGAGCCTTTGAGAGCAGGTTGGCCCTGGGCCACCTCTCCTCCTCGGCCTGCCCCCTTTGCCCGAGGTCTCCCACGGCCCCTCACTCCTTCTGGGTTGGGGTGTATGCAGGTACCAACGGTAGATAGACTGAGTTGAAACTCACTTTCTCCATGTGCAGGAAACCAAGATGCAACCCTGATACTTTTTTTTTTAAAGGTCTAAATTTAGGACCATCTTTATTTTAAATCATCAGTCTTGTTGAAATGGGAGGTTAACAACATATCAGTTCTTCAACTGAATGATATAATTATAAAATTATCTCCACATAATTAGCTCAGGATTATGTTTCATTCTGGTTAGCATGTAATCAAAGCCTGTTATGCTTTTAGCTATAGGAACAGCAATTAATTTCAAAGGGGGTACTTAGACCCTTCACTATTTAGACAAAATAGCTCATCGCGCCAGGAGCAGGCAGTTGGCTCTTGGAGGAAGAACGGTGGTTGGGGCGGCTGTGATTCGAGGGTGGGGTGGGGTGGGGGGGACTCCCAAGACTCTTCCCGGCCCCCACGCTGTCCCGTTGGGTGCCCACCTTCTAGGCGCTGAGTCCACCCATGTCTCATGGTGACTGAGGCTCACTGCTCAGTGACTGGAATGGAGAGGTGACTGGAATGGAGAGGGGAGTGGTGTGTGAAGTTGCTGAGCCTCCGTAGGAACCCAAGGCACGATATCTTGCTCATTTTGGGGGGAAAGCCTGGGACAAGAGCCTGATACGAATGTAAGTGCCTATGTACTTGAGCCCTGTGATCACAAAGTGCACACCTAGCTATATTTGGAAGGAGAAGGGACTCCTGATTCTAAAAAGTGCTAACGGGAGTCCTGTGGCCCTCTAGTAGGAGTGCTCCCGTCACTGCTCCACTTTTCACAGTCACGTAAATATTTCATCATTTCCCCCTTCCCCTCATCCACTATATAGATGCCGCTTGGGATGGCAGAAGTGGACACTATGCCCGTGGCTTTACCAAAACCAGGCCTTGGGCTGGCCGGGCCCAGGGAGCCGAGTACGAGTTTCCCCTGAAGAAGGGCAGTGGGACTGCCCACCGAGCAAGTGCTGTTCCGTGCCACATGCTTTCTATTCTTTTCCTCATAAACACCCCCTTGCAGGGAGCCTGTTAGGTAGCAGTTCTTTCTGCCTGAGACATGAATGATTGGGCTTCAGGGCACAGGACTGCCTGTTCACAAAACTCAGCCCCATCCTTGCCCCAAGTTTCTTTCAGTGAGAAGAAATGCTGTTGTATAAGTATTCGCATGAAAAAAATATGGAAGTCCACATGCTGAGCCTGCACATGGCGGGGAGCTCAGCTGAATGCTTTCTTAGCAGGCTTCAGTCTCGCGCCAAACAAATTTGCTGTCGTTCAGTCGCTAAGTCGTGTCCGACTCTTTGCCACCCCGTGGATTGCAGCCCTCCAGGCTCTGTCCCTGGGATTCTCCAGGCAAGAATACTGGAGTGGGTAGCCATTTCCTTTTCCAGGAGATCTTCCCGACCCAGGGATCGAACCTGCATCTATTGTGACACCACAGAGCCACTAGGGAAGCCCTAACAAACAGGTGTTTGGAAGTCAGCATGCCAGGCGTTCCTTCTAGAGACTGAAATCTGCCCGGTTTAACCCACATGTTTTGTCACTGGGGGCAGGAGCACAATCTGAGGCTGAAAACTGACAGCCTCTGAGTTACTTATCCAGGCGCCTTTCTCACAGCAGCAGAGGCATGGAACCGGCCTCCACAGGAGTACATTCTGCAAAAGGCTGCTGACCCTGCCTATCCCCCCACTGCCTGAATCCAAAGAAACGCCAGCTTTCTGGATTCACATTTTTGGGGGGTGGGGGGTGAGGAGTGAGAGTCCAAATCCTCGGGAGAAAGTTGTGGCCTAAAGGGGAAACTCGGACAGACCCACCACGGCGGCTCCATGAGGCCGGAGAGCCGGGGGCCGGAGTCCTGGTGAAGTTGGAGGGGGCCGGGAGGGGCGGCAGACCCCCGAACCGGGCAGCAACTCCTCTCGGCGCCTGGCAGCTGGAGCCTGTGATTACCCATCCAGAGAGGAGAGAAAAGCGGGGAGGGGAGAGAAAGGGCAGTTAGCGGAGGGGGTAGGGCCGGGGAGGCGGAGGGCAGAGCCCGGGCGCAGAGCCTGACTGTCCCTTCGCAGACAAAGGACTTGGCGGGAGGAGCGAACCCGAACGCGCCGGCAGAAAGGCTCGGGCCGCGCGCTCACACCGCGCGGCCAAGTTTCTCAGCGCGACAGATGGGGCCGCGCGCCCGCCCGGCCCAGCCTTCCAGACGGTCCGCGCCGGCAGTGACCCCCACCCGCCCTCGGCCCGGCTCCACGGAGGACCCCGGACGGGGGCGGGCCCCTCCCGGCCGCGCTCCCCACTCGGGCCCCCTCCGCGGACGCAGTCCACTGAGGCCCCGTGCTCTTTTTCCCTCCCCAGGTGTCTCCGGGGAGACTGGGCTGGGGCTGCGGGGCTCTCTGGGACGCCTTCCAGCCCGAGGGGGCGAAAAGGCGGCTGAGCAGGCAGGTCTCCACCACTCTTTGTTCTGGGCAAAGCTCTGGGCTCGGCCCTGGAAGGAGGGGTGGGGAGGGACCGCCAGTGGGGCGAGTCCGGGGCTCTGGTCCTAGCGTTCCGCCCCCCCACCCCGCCCCCGGGATGCGGAGCGGGTAGAGGGTCTGGGGACTCCCTCCCTCCTCCCAGAGGCGTAGCCGGGACCTGCCAAGGGCTGGGGCCTGGGTCGGCAGGGCATCAAGCTGGGCCACACCTGTTCCCTAGACTCTTGGGGCTCCCCACCGCCCCTGTGCTGACCTAAGACGACGAGGTGGTCAGTCACCCCGATGGCTAAGCAGGAGGCGAACAACAACAGCAACAATAATAACGCGGTCCTCCTCAGCCTCACCAGCCAGGAAGGGGGTATGGCGGACCACTCGATTAAATCTCATAATGAGGAGTCACTTTAATGACTATTATTACATTTCAGGCGATTTCAAGAATGGCTTTTTATTTGCTGTGGGCAGGGAGCATAAACAGAATGAACTACATGAGATTAATAATGAAAATATGAATGGTCTGCTCGGGCTTGCGCAGCCCGGCTCACGTCGTGCGCCCCTGGAGCTCAGGGCGCAGGCATCGCGCGCGTGTTTCCCCCGCAGAGGGCGGCCCATGGGGTCTCGGGACTCAGCGCAGAGCCAGGCCTGCCTGCAGCCGCCCTCGCCCACCACCCAGCCCACCCCGCCCGCTGCTCTTGAAGCCAGAGGCCTCGCCCTCGACCCTGATAGGAGAGAGAAGCGAGCGCAGAAATGGGGTCTCCACCCCGAGGCCCGGCACGGGGCTGCAGTGCGTGCCTGGAGGCGGCGTGGAGTGCCGGTTGGAGGGTCGGCTTCCCCGGAGGCCTTGGGCGCCAGTCGCCATTAGTCTCCCAGGGCACGGCGGCTCGGCCTGGCAAGCGGCAAGTTTCGGCAGAGCCGGGACCTTCCTGGGGGCTCTTGGGGAGCTTCCCCGGACGGGCAGAGGTCGGATATTAAACCAGCAGGAGACAGAATGACTTTTAGCCGAGACAGAGCGAGCAAACACGGCCTCGCAGCTGGCCCCGCGCGGCGGCAGGCGTATTTGCATACATAGTGTGTGATGTTTGCTGTGCCCACCACACTCCCGGGCACACTTGTGCCAAGCGGTTCAGAAGCCCCAGCGATTTGCCCTTTTCACCCAAGGGAAAACAGGAACGATGGAACCTTCTCAGAGATCAGACTGGTGGCGCCCCGCTTTTGCCCCCTTAAGAAAGCCCTTGGTGGTCCACTTCCTGCGACCTTCGCCTGCCGGTGTTGACCCTCGGATTCTGACTCCAGCCTGAGGGTGGGGGCTTACTTATTCGACCCCATTGGGCAGCTGGAGGAGGAGCTGTCTACGCACCAAGGAATCCTGCTGGGTCTCTGATCCTGCACCTTTGGGGAAGCGTGTTCCACTGGCCTGGGGGGCTGCGACCGTCCACGCTCAGCTCCCAGGCCTCAGCCCAGTCTCTGCGCAGCCACGGAGGCCTGGGGGAACAGGGTGGGGGCCGTGCAGCTGCAAGCCGCAAGGACGTCCTTCCTAAAGGAGCTTTCCTCTGAGCACATTTAGGAAACCCCACCTGCTGTGGGGTGACAGTCTGGTGGGGTCCAGGTGGGGTGTCACCGGTACTGCAGGCTGGGTCCAGATCCAAGCTGGGCAGAGCTGTGGGGGCCCAAGTGGAACTCAGTGGCGGCCGGACTTCACGAAGGGGCATCGCCTGCCCTGCAGCCTGACTCTGGTCTCCACTGTCTGCGCTCAGTCGCTCCATCGCGTCCAACTCTTTGTGACCCCATGGACTGTAGCCGCCAGGCTCCTCTGTCCATGGGATTCTCCAGGCAAGAATACTGGAGTGCGTTGCCATTTCATTCTCCACGGGATCTTCTCCACCCAGGGATGGAACCCGTATCTCTTGTGTGTCCTGCATTGGCAGGCAGATTCTTTACCACTGTGCCACCCAGGAAGCCCAGCTCCTAGTGAAAGTGGCTGGTGTGTGCCGAAGTGGCTCTCCATGAGTTATGAGAGGATTTAAAAACGTGTAATAAACGTAGGAGCAAAACCAGAATCTCAGCATTTGGGAGGTCTGAGAGTTCATTTAGTCCAATCTCCTACTGGAGGCCGGGGGGAAGCAAAAGAAAAACCTTATGCCACTGTAGGCCTAGTGTCTGCTTGCACACCTCTGAGGATGGGGAGCTCATTACCTTGCAAAACCATACATTGCCCCTTAACAGCGCTATGATTTGCCAGCGGGATGAAATACAAAAACTAAAAATGATGGCTGAATGTTGCTATGTGATCTTTTTATTAAAAGGAAGGAGAGGCCAATCAGGTAATAGAAGCTGTGCTAGTGCAGTTTTGTTTTTAGGAACCCGCAGATTGGCAGAGTGGCAGGGTGGTGGCTAAGGAAGATGTGATCCCGCCCCATTAATGCTCCTGGGACCAGGCTCCGGAGCCTCTGCAGCGAGACCCCAGAACGTGTCTTTGCAAAACCGGGAAGGAGCTCAGCTCCTAGCCAGAGGCCCAGCGTCCTTCCCCTTGGGAAGCCGGTGTGGAACGGAAATGCCTAAAAGGTCGCCTTGGGAACAGAGGCTCCTCTCTAGTCTCTTGAGCTTCTTTTACTGGGAGAAGAAAACTGCAGCCAAGAGAGTTTGGAAATAGAGCAGTTGGGTTCACAGGGCCACGTCAGCTGTCCTCTGAGGCCAGGTGAGTTGCGGGTCCCAAGGTCAAAACTCCCATCCACTTCCGGTCTTTTTCTCGCATCCGCCTTGGGATGCCATCAGTCCGTGTCCTCTGCTCCGGGGAAAAGACAACAATGCAACATAAAGAAGAGCCTCTTTGTCTCAGGTCAAGTGAGAGCTCCTCTCTCCAGGGGCTGAGCGCCTCTGTCGGCTCGGGGAGCAGCCAGGGACGGAGACCTGTTGCTTTCTGCAGGAGTTTAAATATTTATTCAAAGAAAAAGCACCGGACTTTGGAACACTTCCTTCTGGTAAATAAATGCATACTTAAATCCCTTTGGTTGTTCTGTACTCATACAGGAGACGTCCAAAGTGTCTTCATTATTAAAAAAAAATTATGCCTCTGGCTACAAAGGTAGGCATGTGCACACCTGCGGTGGAGGGAAAGACCTGAGCACCTGAGCACTGAGGTTGTCCTCGGCAGGTCAGCTGGGCTCAGAAACACACTTAAAAAAAAACAAACCTACTCATTCCATCTTGGACAACTGATATTTTACAATAAAGTGTTTTTTTTTTATTTAATGTAACTTTCAAGAATTTCAACACACAAAAATGCAGGGGGAATGTTCACAATTTTGATAACCACAGTAGTAAATAGAAACATTCATTTCTTATAAGATTATAAATATTTGCTACTGGAACTGTAAAATGCACATGTGTAATAAACTAAAAAATAAAAATAAAAAAATAAAAACCCCAAAACTTTGCTTCCTGCTAAAAAGGCATATCATTTCATTGAGTTTCCTAAGCAGCAGATGGTTATTCACAGAATTTTAAATTACAACTTTTGCTTTTATAAGTTTCTTTTCCTTAAAAAAAAAAAGGGTTTACGCTAGTATGTACAAAGGGAAACTATTATCGCAGTGAAATAAAGAGGTTTAAGGCAAAGAGAGAAGTTCACCCTCAGTCCTCGGGGCAGGGCCCGGGGCACCCCCCAGGCTGTCCCAGCACAGACGGACATTTGGACACAATTCTTTTTCCATACAATAAACAGAAGACAGTGTGGAGCTACAGATATAGATATAGATAATGTGTTTGTTTATATATATGTACTTGGTGGGGATATATTGAATATATTTCATTTACACTGTACCACACTTCAAAAAATAAAATGTATATTTAAAAAAAAAAACAAGAAAAAACAAAAAGTGATAAGAAATGATTATTTACACATTTTCTTCTTTCCTCTAGATCCTGGAGAATTCTGAGTTCCTTTAAAAGTCAAGGTAGCCACATGTTCTAGAACTGTGGACTCTTACACGTCTGCTTCTGTGTGTGATATGAGCACACACACAGATCTATGTACACATGCACACACATATTTACCATGAAAGAATGCTCTCTATAGCAGAAGCGGCCACTTAAAAAAAAAAAAGAAAAAAAGAAAAGAAAGTGAAGAAAAAGAAAAAGGAAAGGGGAAACGCCAGCTCCTTCAGGCCTCCACAGCTCCAGAGGCACACCCAGCAGACCTTGGCTGCGTTTCTGGGCACCCCCCCCCCGCCCCCGCAGATATTGCCTGGGCAGCTGATGGAGCCGCAGGGGAGCTTCTGGGCCCAGGTCTGGGGGGACAGGGTGGTCCCAAAGCCTGTGGGCCTCCAGCCACTGGCGCCCTGAGCCCCGGAGCGGGTGCTGGAGGTGGAGGTGGGACACTCCGGCACTGGAGGCGGGCGGCTGGACAGGGGACAACGACGCAGATGCAGACAGAAGGATGCAGGGAGGCGCGAGCCAGGCCTCGGCGGCGAGGAGACAGGGAGGGAAGGCAGGCAGAGGGGAGGACGAGGGCTGGCGTGGGCCCTGCCCAGGCAGCCCCGGGGTGCAGGGCACCGGACCGGAGGCCCAGCCGCGGCCTCGCCTCCGGGACCCTTTCTCCGCGATGGCGGTGGCGGGCTTGGGCAAGCGGACCCTCCTGCCAGCCTCACCAAGCCCACACAAACAAAGTGGCAGAACTCATAGACCAAGTAGGAGCTATTTATTCGGTTCACAGTCGTGTGAAATGCAGCAATAAAAATCTTTGGACTTCAGCAAGTTGTTTTAATTTTTTCATCTTTTGAAATTAAAAAAAAAGTGTCCGATGTCCCATAATGGAACTTAGGGGATTAAAAAGATGAAACCCTAAGTAGCCCCCTTTGCAAAAACCAAAAACCCAACATAAAATTAGCATAATCTCATAAACATAAAAAAACTCAAAAAATATTTTATAGTCAGATATTTTGGATTTTACACCTCCTGTAAATTATATATACATAGAATATTGCAGAACCATAGCTAATACACGATATCTTCACTATTAATGCTGGTATAATCTTTATACACTGGCCCTTGATTTCTGATTTTAAATTATTGCATCATTTCGCCAGGGCGGGCCGGGACGCGGTACCCGCCCGCCCTACTCGCTGTCCGACTTGCCCTCCTTGGCGGTGGTGGAGTGGTTGTACAGGCCCTGCGCCATGAGGTGCACGGCCAGCGTGTTCTTGCTGCCCGTGGCCTTCTTGATCTTGGCGCGCTTGTTCTGGAACCAGATCTTGATCTGCGACTCGTTGAGGCTGAGCTCCTGCGCCAGGCTCTGGCGCCGCTGCTCCGTCAGGTACCTGTTGGTCTGGAACTCGGCCTTGAGCCGCTGCAGCTGCTCTGCCGTGAAGGCCGTGCGGGGCCGCTTGTCCTCTTTGTTGGGGTTCTTCTTCTTTGGTTTGCGAGACCTGGGACCTGGGGAGGCGCGGGGGACAGAGAGCGCGGGTTAGGAGGGCTCCGGCCGGCTTGCTCGCTGGGGCGGGGTGGTCCACCACCCCGCACAGGAGGCTGTCGCAGCTGTTGGCGACCCGGAGGAAAGCAGGGCTGGGTTTGGGGTCGGCTGTCGGGGCGGAGCGCTCATGGAGGGGGCGGGGAGGGGGGCCGGGAAGCCTGCAGGAGCGGTGGGCTTGGGGGCAAAGGGCAGGCTTAGCAGAAAGGCCAGGACAGCAAAAACCCCAAAACTCTGGCCAGGACTTTTCGAGTCCTTCCTGAGGTTCCGTCCACGAATGGCGACAGGATGGGGTGGCTGCAGGGAGAGAGTTGAGGGAGACACACTGGAGGGGGTTGGGCCAGTCAGAGTAGCAGGGGGAGCCCCGGGGTGCAGGGGGGACTCCCCACAGACCTGGGGGCCGTTGGAGCCAGCGTCAGGTGGGTGCTGAGAACGGGAAGGGTCTGCCTCCCCCAGCCGGCCCTGTGGGCCCACGTTCATCCTTCCCTTTAAGGGCCAGAAGAAGCACGAGCTTCCCACCCTTCACCCCACCAGGTCTCCCCCAGTCCCCCGTCCAGGAGAGGGGACACACTGCCAGCCCCGGAGCTGAGGCGGCCACTGGGGACCCCGCTGACCTCGGGCAGAAGGCTCACACTTCTCACCCCCACACTCTTCCCGGTGGGCCGCCCAGGTTGGTGCGGGGCAGTGGCGCTGGGAGTCCTAGGACCCCGGCAACAGAAAGGGCCTGAGAAAGGCGACCAAGTCATGTCTTTTCCCGGGTTTCCGAAGGTCAGATGGGGCGAGGGGGTCAGAGAGGGAAGAGGCCTTTGCAGGAGGGGGTGGTGGCTGCGGGTCTGGGGGTCTGAATCTGTGAAGTGTGTGAAGTCGTGCTGGGGGCTGGCTCCCGCTTCTTCGGAGGAGCCCTGGCTGAGAGGCTGGAGAAGGCTAGACCTCCGGCAGCCGGAGCACCCAGGCGCCCGCCCCTCACCCCAAGGCACTCTGCGGGGTAAGGCCCCGGGGTGGGGGGGCACTCGGACCAGGAGGGTGGACCATCACCCGGGCCTTCCCTAGCTAGGGATCTGGGGCGGTCCGCAGACCCAGGAGGCCCCGGGAACCCTCTCCTCCGCCCACCGAGCCTTGCGCTGTTTCCGGCAGCCACGATGGGAAAAGGAGGGCCGGGCCCGGTGGAGAGGGGGCACCGGACTGTTCGGCTCAAGCCTGGGGCCTTCAAGATTGGAAGCACACCCAGGCGCACCCCGACCCAGGCGCACCGCGCCCCCTGCCCCCACCGCACGCACACTCGCTCACAAGCCCAGGTCCCCGGCTGCCCAGCCTAGCTTTTCCCCGGAGGGTGCGGATTCGGGGCGGCTGCCCGCGTCCAGGGGGCGCCGCGCGAGGCGGGCAGGGGCCGGCCCTGCGAGGCTTCTACAGGCCCGGCGGAGGCCCCCACCGCGGCCTCGTGCGGCACAGCCCGCCCGCGGTCCCCATCCGCAAACTCCCCGGATCCCGGGGCGCTCGCACACGCCGATCAGCCCACAAAAGGCCCGGGCCACTTTATAGAAAGGAAATCTCCCTAAAATCAGAGATTTCAGTTCCTTTTCCTTCTTGATTTTCGTTCAAAACGCAAACTCTTAAGGAGTCTTGGAAAGACCAAACCTCCGCAAAAACAAAACAAAACAAAACAAAACTCTGCGTCGCTGCTTTCGTAAACGCCCGGAAACACATATCTTATCTAACGGGGCCTTTTTTTTTTAAGTCCAGGAAGACCAACCACTGAGCCAGGCCCGGCTGCCGGGCTTCCTCCGGCCTCTGGGGCCTGGCGCGGCCGCGACTCCCGCGCCGCACAAAGCCGAGCCGAGGCTCCTCGCCGGCCGCATTGTGAGCCTATATGTTAATTAAATATTAACAAAGGAGAGAGGCGAGAACAATGGAGCAAATTTCAGATCTAGCTGGAGAAATTGGGGTTTCATCAGAGATACACACAGACCGTTTCTGCGGGCAGGCGACCCGGGGGTGACTTAGTTGCGCTGTGAACTGTTTAAACGACCCCCGCAAAACAGTTGAGGGTTCGGGGAACAGGGGGGTCCAGTATGCGCGGCCGGCTCGGGGACAAACGGAGTCTGCGCCTAATGGCGGTTCGCAGCCGCAGACCCGCATTTACTGCGGCTCATACTTCTATGGGGAAGTGGACTCAGCTTTTAAAAATCCCGGGTCTACGAAAAAGACGCCCAGAAGCTCTGCACACTCTCGCCGGCTCCCCCGCGCACTTCCTCTGAAATCTGCTCCTTTCCTACGCAGGAAAGCTCGGTAAAGATCCATTCTATCCGGGGACAGCAGGCCTTCCTCTTCCAAGCTGTGTGCGCACCTCTTGGCAAATAAAACGAGGCACAGGGCGAAGGGCTCCTCTGTCTCCCTTCCTTCCCTCTGCGGATCCCTCCACCGGCCCCTGGTCGACCCCAGCTGAGGACGAGCAGCGAGCCTCGCTTTCTTCCCGGGACACATCTGGGAAACTGGGGCGACAGGATGAGACTAAGTCTCGGGGCGGGCTGGGCGTGGGTCCAGGTCTGGACCGAGTGGGAAGAACAAGCGAGGGTGTGCTCTTCCGGGCCTGTTTTCCAGCCACCCCCATTCCCACCAAATAAACTCCGGCCAGGGCAGGGATGGGCTAGGGACTAGGAGAGGCCCCCAAAGGCAAGAGAGAACGGAGGTCCTGGTACTTTTCGCCGTTCTAGTAAGTCTGTAGCCCCGAGTGAATCAACCCTGCCCCTCTCCGCCTGGCCGCGGCCCGCGTCAGCGTCGGCCGCACAGAGTGTCGCTGTGTGCGCGTCTTTGTGTTGGGGGCGAGGGATGCTCGAGTCTTCTTCCTCCCGGTAAGTTCCCGCCCCAGCGCTGCCCCGCAACTCCGCGGGCCTCCCCACGGCAGGCCGGGGCACGGGTCCCCAGGGCTCACCTGAAGAAGGTCGGTCCGAGTAGCGCGTGCAGTAGACCCAAGCCGGCCAGAGCATGGGCTGCGCGCCAAGGTTGGCGCTGGCCTGCGAACTGTCCGAGTCTGAGCTCACCGACAGGTCGCCGCCGCCCAAGCCGCGGGCCTTGAGCGCCCCGTCCAGGGGACCCCCGGGGTCTCCTCCTTTCTTGGCACCGCTGTGCAGTGAGAGCGCTTTGGAGCCGCCTTCGCCGTCACCCGGAGAGTCGCTACCGCCACCGCCGGGCAGCGGCCCGCCCGCCCCGGGCGCGTTCTGCCGGGGCTCCCGGCCCGACACCAGGAGCTGCTCCGCGCCGCCCGCGCCGCCGCCTCCCTCCAGGCTGCTTTCGCCGCCTGCCCCGGCTCCTCTGCCTCCTCCGGCGGCGGGACAGCACGTCCCCGCGTCCTTTCTCCGGCCGAACTCGGGCCGCAGGATGTTGTCGATGAAGAAGTTGGTGATGCGGTGTGGGTGCTGGTGGTTGCCCGGCGCCTGCAGGACCGCAGGCAGCATCAGAGCCCGCCGGCGGCCAGTGTCCGCGTCGCCAGGGCTGCCGGCGCCGCCGCTGGGGCTGGATTCCGGCGGCCGCTGCCCCTCCGCCGCCGCCGCTTCGCTAGGCTTGGGGTCATTCTCCTCCATGCTGCTCGCAACAAATCCCGAGTCGGTTCTCCAGGGAGACCCTCCAGTCAGCCTTCTGCTTCTCCGCTCCGTACGCGGAGACTTCCGAGGCCGGCCGGTGTCCCTTCCCCGCCGACTCTCCCGAGGGCGAGCGCGGCGGCCGCAGCCAGGGTTGGGGTCCTACACGTCGCCAGCCACGCTCAGAGCCGAAGCCACGTTCAGATCCACGAGTTGAGTTAGAAAATACCAAGAGTCGCCCCACGCCCAGACGCCGGGAGATTCAAAATAGTCCGGTCCGAGTCTTCGCAGCGCACCCAGGCGCTAGACGGTCACAAGGGTCCGGCGCGGACCCGGGGCGCCTCGGGGCTCCGCGCACCTCTCCACGTCCGGCTGCCTCCGGCTCCGGCGCCGCCGCCGCCGCCCGGCCGCCCGGGGCTGGAGCTCCGCGCATGCAGGCAGCGCGCTCGTCCGCGCTCACGCCCGCCGGGGCCCGCTAGGGCCAACGCCGCCGCCGCCGCCGCCCGGCCGCCCCCACCCGCGCGCCCCGGCCGGCCCTCTAGGGTGCGGGGCGCGAGCGGTCAGCGCACCCGTTGCCGCCAGCACGCACATGGAGGCCCACGGGCCCGCGCTGCGCTCGGCCGGCCTCCGGGCCCCTGCGCGCGGCCGCCGCCCCGCCGCGGGCCGGGGCGCCCCCGCCGAGCCCCGCCGAGCCCCGCGGCCCGAGTCGCATGGGTGAGCGGCGGGCCGGGCCGGACCGGGCTGGGCCGCCCGCTTTCCCTCGCCGTCTGCGCGCCCTCGCGCCTCGGCCTCCGCGCGGCCAGGAAATTTCCAGGCCACTCGGCGCAACCCGAGACACTCGGACTCTGGATTTTTGTTCTTATTTTTAACCGAGCCCCCTCGAGTGACGTCGCGGGCCGGTCTCCTGGACACGTGCCTCGGGCCAATGGTCGCGGCGCCGCGCGCCCACGTGACCGGCTCGGTGACAGGGGCCGCCCGCCGCCCCGCCCCCGCTTAAAGGGGCCGCGTCCCTGCGCTCCGGGTGCGGAGCCTGGACCCGCGAGACCGCCGCCGCGTTCTCTGCGCGCACTCGCGCGTTCGCGTTTTCCCTGCGGCTTCTCGGCGATCTGAGAAACGCCCGCGACAGTCCCGCCGGGTCGCCCACACGCGGACGGGGACAAGCGCTGGAAGCGTGCTTTTTTTTTTTTTAACATTTCCATATTGTTTACCGTGGGGAAAAAAAATCCCACAATTCCTTGCACAAAAATGCATAAATAACATTAAATGAGCTGCCGCGATACAAAGAGACTTCTGGAAGTCCGCCTTGCTGGAAAGGGCAGTTGTCACTTACATTTGACTTTGGTAACCCGGGAAGCTCCCCGTCTTTAATGCAGAGCTGATGCGCAGGCCCCTCTTCCTGCAGACACTCACTGTAAGTGTGCGCGCGCGAGTGCAGGGAGCCGCGTGCCTGCTGTCGGATCCCACCCTGGCCACGGATCCTCCTGAATCGTGCATGCAGACCCGGAAGAGCTCAGGAACGCGATGTGGAACTCCGTGTTGGGGAAAGACAATAAAGGAGCACTGCGCATTATAACCGAATCTTCTTTCTGGAAGGAGAAGGGAAGCGGATGGTTCAACCAAGCCTTCAAAACCACGTGGAACAAACTACTCCCCAGAGGCTGCCTCCTCCCAAGTCCTCACTCTCATTTCCCACCCCCCAGTTTTTACCCCCCCGAAGGTCCGAGGGGCTACAGGACATTCACCTCTTTTTCTTGTCTTAAAATCTTCTAAATTAGTTTTTCTGGAGGGCCCATATGAAAGGGAAATTAGAAATCAAATGGTGGGGTGGGGGCCCCAATTTGTTTCCCCTTTCCCCTCCCCTCCTTCCTTCCAAGATCCCTTCCTAAGCTTCCTTTGCAGCTGCTGTCAGAAAGTCCAACTGGAATTTCTGTTTTCTCTTCTCCCGCCTCTTACTTGTGGCTCCTTCCTGTTCACTCCTCTGTCTTTGACCCCACCTGCAGACACCCCACCAAACACCTGTTGTGACCCGAGGCTCGCCTGTCCATCATTTAAAAGGCATTTCATGGAAATTTTTGAAGTTCGAAAAACATCCAAAAGGGCAACTCGCAGGGTGCTGGATCACTGGCAGATAAAAGTACGTTGGAGAGGATATGGGAAGACTGGGGAGAAAGGGAGAGCCCACGTGGCTTCAGGGTGCCCAGCAACAGAGGCCTGTTTTTGGTAACCCTGGGCCTGGGCAGCCAGCAGGAGGCTGTCAGGCTGGGAGGATGGAGCAGGTCCGGGCCAGCAGCCCTCCTGGCAATGTGACCACCAGGCCACCTTGAGGCTTGAAGGCTTGACTTGCTTAGCTTTTCCTCTGGTCCCCATGCAGGTCCCATTGTCTCTCTACCCCAGATCGGTCCACCCACTGTGGGCTCCAGGGTGAGGCCTGGGTTGAACTAGAAGCAACAGTTACCAGGTACATCTGGGGGAATTTAACCCACGGAGGAGAGGCATAAAATGGGTAGAAGGAAGTACTGGGCTGGGTCACCTGGCTGTTAAATGCAGGTAGTGGCTGGGTGTGGACAGGCTCTGGAGGCAGGTGGTGAGACTCTGTCAGGATGGGGAAACCCTTTCCACTGGGGTGACTCACATCCCTCTCCCTTCCTCCCCCTCCAGTGGAGGGATCTTCACCAAATTACCTGGCTAGGCACACTCCTGCCAGCGGCCCTCCCCTGGGTCTCAAAAAATGAAACCCATAGTCTGTCTGCTCCTGGAAAAATGACCCTGGTGAAGTTATGGCAACACTCTATTTACACATGTTTAGGGTTGCAGGGGAGTTTTCCTGCAACTCTGGGGACCCTTAATCATCAAGGAATGTCCAGTTATTTGGGTTCTCCTGATCACGGAATGGGGAGGGGGCAGGCCCAGGGCTGACTGGTTCCTGCAAAGCCACCCCAGGTTAATTTCTCCACCTGTCCCCTGAAAAGCACTCAGGCTGGCTCTTGAGAAATACTTCATAATGTCATGGGCACTTTTGCCTCTGATTGCCCCGGCATTAACTGAGCGGGTGGTCCAGATGCAAACTACTGGCTTCAGCATGAAGTCTGCAAAAGCAGCACCATCATCTCCAGGCTGACCTCGTTTACTCTGGGGGAAGAGGGGGGCAGCAACCTGCAGACACTGGTCTCCAGGCTGCAGGAGGCTGGTCTGAGGAAGCAGGACAATTCCTGAGTGATGGCCTGCTACCCCCCTCCAGTGATTAGAGGGGAGTCCTGCAGAAGAAGGAAAGAAGAGGGAAGGAAGAAGTCATTAGAGGTATCAGGCCACACGAAGCCAACCCAAACCTCAACATAATTCCACAAAAGAGCTCCCCTTGAGCGTGGGCACCATCCAAAGGTACAGCGTGGAGGATGGGAGAATCTGGGTGGAAGCTGCAAGAAAGTTAATTTGCTCCTAGCGGAGGGAATCCTAAATCTTACAAAAATCACACAATTCATTTCTGAAAGCTCTAAAACATGCTTGAGGCCCGACAGGCCCGCCGGATGTGGGACCCCGCCTGGCTGTGCTTTCTGTGGGGGTGGTGGGGGGGAGACGCAGGGAAGGGGGACAGGGAGGGGGAAGGCACATTTCCAAGTGTCCGCTCCCGGGGTGCGGGCCCTAAGCCCAGCCCGCCATGCCGCTTGGCTTCTCCACCCACAAGGCGGCCACCCCGCAGCGGGGAACTTCTCCGCGTGACCAGGCGACCCGGTACTGGACATCTGCTTCTCCCCAACCTGGTGAGGCCGCGATCACCCGGGATCCCTGGTCTTATCTCCTCCCGCCAGGCCGAGAAGACAGTCAGCAGCACCCCGCTTCCGGAGAACCGGCCCCCCTGCCCTTCCCAGGCGTGCGGCACAAAGGCGGACCTTGGAGCACATCAAGGGGAGAGGCGGCTCCCGACCCGGTGTGTCCCCAGCTCCGACGCTAGTCCGACGAAATCTGCGGCCACAGCAGATCCTGGGGACGCTGGCTGCAGATCCGAGCCTCCCGTTTTTTTCTTAAAACGAGGCCAGAGGTGGCTGACTTTTCCGGTCGCTGTCCTGTCCCCTTACTCCCCACACTTCTCAGGGTGGGCGTGGGGACACTGAAAAAAAAATAATAACCAATGTAATATGAGCGGTGTTGGTTTTCAGGGTCCTTGTCACTTGGTCGGGAGAGGTGCCCGACAATTCCCGAGAGTGAAATCTCACCCCCCGCAGAATCAGGCCGAGGAGCGGCGCGCCCGTGGCCGAGAGCCAGCTCCGCGTGGCCGGTTGCCTAACCGGGAATTAGGGCCGATCAGGGAGAAAGGGCTCGACCTGGCAGAGAGCCCCCCTCGGCCCTCGGCTCCTGCAGCTGCGGCTGAGACCCTGGCCTGCAGACAAAGGCCTAAATGATGGGGCAGGCGGAGGAGGGGGTTGGTCGGGCAGGGCCGGAGGAGGGGGCGCAGAGGAAGCGCGGGTGTCTTACCTCCCAGCCATGTGCCAGCCTGCAGACACACCGGGCGACCTTGGGGGCCTGGGTCAGGGACCTGGCCGAGTAGCCCTGGGAAGGATTAAGCGTAGCAGCGGAGGGCCTGGAAGGGGCCTGCAGAGTGGTGAGGGATGGGGTGCACCCGCCCTCGAGCTCCAGGCCCCACGCCTCTCCCTGCCTGGGGCGGCAAGCGCCTGGGAGAGCCTGGTGGGTGGGTCGGTGCTCACAGAGGCTTGGCTCAGGAAGGGGGTGGGCAGCGAGCCGCACTGCTTATCTGGACCCGGCCGCCAGAGCTGAAGAAGAAGTGACTTGTGCTTGGCTAAGGCCCCTGGGAGCTGGGGGCAGATGTGGGTGCCCTCCTGTCCAGGCCACAGGGAGAGGGCCTACTTCTGATGCTTAGCCTCAGTGCCAGCCTGCAAGAGCTGGGGAGACGGGTGGAGGGCTGGGGCGATAGGCAGAGACCTGGGGAGAGAGCCAGAGGGCTGGGGAGATGGGCAGAGGACTGGGGAGACAGGGGGAGGGTGGGCAGCTCTGTGCTGGAGACTAAGATGCAGAAATCTTCCATAACCTGACTTCTCAGGAATAAAAGAGGCTTCTAAAGGGAAATCATAGGATCGCCCCCCTTGGGCTAGGAAACCCACACCCCAACTCATTCCTCTGCCTTGGCACACCCTCCACTGGCTTTCTCCAGGGCCAGGCGACTCTCTTCTCAAACGACCTGCACTAGGATTGCTTGGGAATCACCGTGCACTCTGGGGGCCCCTTTCACCGCTGTTCTCCATCCCAGTAAAAGGCGGATGCTTCTGGAAGCTAGGCCCACTTCCACTCACTGTCCTCACCAAGCTGACGGAGTAGGCTGTGCAGGGTCATGGCTGGGAGTCACACAGACTGCTCCCTGACCTCACGCCTCCACGGTAAGGAAAATGTCCCCTCGGAATTGCGGCAACCCAAAAGAAAGTGACACAGTCCAAATAATCCAGAGGCGAATAAGTGGACTTAGTTGGGATTCAAAGAGCTGGGTAAGCACACGAAAGTGAGAAGAAAAGATATGTAAACATATAATGAATCGTGAAGATAATCGGCCACCCTCTCCAACCTTACAATTATGTACAAATAGTGGAAGAAAGTCTAGTATCTACTGTCTTCCTTTTGATCTTTGTAAGGAAAACAAGACCCTCAGAAGGAACTTTGGGAATAGCTGCCTCCTTCATGGGGCGAGAGAGGTTTCTTTTCTTCTTGTTCTTTCCCTGAAAGCCACAGAAAGTCACAGAGAGTGTAAACTCACATATGCTGACTTCACACTATTTTTGGAAGCAGGATTTGAGTGGCTAGAGAGTTCCAGAATTTTAGACAAATTTAGGTTTAACTTAAATGACCTGGATCCAGTCCAGCCAACCTACCGACAGCTGAGGAGACAACTCATTAGTCCAGGTTTTATATCAGCAAGAAAATATCTAAACCATCACCCCAAATGTCAGCAATTGAATAGAGCTTGGGGGGGCACCCTCCACACAGAGAGTTATATACATTTCGGTTAAGATGGGGAGACGGGACTTTTTAAACCTATGTTCAAGTTAGTCATGAAATTTTTTTTCTTTAACAAATAGAAATATTAAAATTTATAGTTTGATGTAAAAGAGTGAAACTAAAGTGTGAATGAACTGAAAACATTCCCTACATTGGATTCAATTACTGATCAATTCCACTGAGTTGAGCAAAGCTGGTCATTTCTCCTCATGGGGCCTGGGTCTTGCAAAGCTCTGCATTTGGGGGCCTCAGACAAGAAGTGAAGGCTTTCACTCAGCAGAAAGTCATAGAGCACGGAGGATGTGTCCGCAGTACATTCCAGGACCGGGAACACGCTTGGGGGATTGGTGGCCTTTGAGGAACACGAGGGCGTGGTCACCACCTAGTGGGTGCTCGCTGGCTCCCTCCGGGGCAGCTCCAACTGTTCTGGTCAGGACCCAGGGCCAGGGAATTGCCCTCAGAGGTACCCTCAGCCTTTGTTTCTGCTTCTGTGCCTCATCCCAGCCCACCTCACCCACTCAAGGAAAGCCCACTAAAGCAACATTTCAAAGTCAAGACATAGGAAGGAAGCGCTCTCTCTCCTCTCCCCAAAACTCTTCTCTCCTCAATCCCTCTTTAAAAATCTCCTAGTTTTCTGCAGGCAGCTCTTCCTTGCATCTTCTGTTACAGAGTTTCAGGGTTTTGTGCATCTCCTCTTAGTTAATCCCCTAAGACACAGCAGCTCTGTGAAGGTGGCAAAGTTCGGGAACTTGGTCCCAGCTGGAGCATAAACACAGGCTGGTCGGAGAGGCGGACGTGCAGGCAAATTTCCCATGTGTGTAGCTAATGCCCCTACATTCCTGGGGATTTTCACCTCCCCAGCTACTGGGAGCCAGAGAGGCGAGCTGTCCTAATTAACTACCTGGCTCAGCTCTCCCTTCGCAGGGCCAGGGCTAACTTTGGCGGCCAGGGGCAGCCTCTGGGTTTCAGATGTTGGGGGCCCCCGGGGTCGAGGATCTGAGGCACCGTTGGGGACTGAAGGTTTGGTGCCAAGGCGGGTAAAGCGCGGGCTCCCCCAAACAAACGGCACCATCAGGGCGATGCTTTTCTCTTTTTTTGCACAAGATGCAAGTTCAGCTGCAGCTGGTGCAAAGCAGCCAGACAAAGCCCAGCCTTGAAGGTAGAATGTGAAACCAAGACTCGACTGCCAGGAAGCCTCAATTCGGGGACGTCCTCCGAAGTCGGAGGCCAGAACGGATTTCGGATGGAGAAGCAACCCAGAGGCCAGGCTCCGTGAGACTAGGCCGAACGCCGGCCAGCAGCTTTTCCGCTCGGGCGGAAATCTCCTTTCCTCGGGGCAAACCAACTCCTGGAAAGCACGAAATCGAGCCAAGAGAAAGCGGCACGCCCGTCACAGCCCGGGCTCGAGCAGAGCCCCCTCCCCGGGAACCTAGGCGCCGCCGCGCGCATCCGGGCTGGCGGGAGGCGGGAGGCGTGGGACCCTGCCAACTTGCTGGGCCCCCGGGTGGCGGGGCAGGAGCGCCCCCAGCACCCGCGACGGTCCTCGCTGCTCCCCAGAGCGGGCCAGGCGAGGGGCTCCGCGCTCCCCGCCCCACCAGGTATGGCCTAGACTGGTCTCGGCCAGCACCCAGCTTCTCCGCCCAGGGGGCCGTGGTTCCCCTCGTGAGCAGGGACGGGGCGCCCCACGCCGGACTTTTCACTTCGTGCAGGGCCGTAGTTTGCTGTGCGGGTCGGGGCGCGGTGTGACCCGGTCTCCGGCTTCCAGAACTGGCAGCTTCTGCTGGGGGAGCAGTTTCACTCCTCTCCAACTCGCTTCCCTGTCTCACTGCGCCTTCGGGTGGGTTGGTTGAGGGGATTCCTCGCTGGAGTTCGGAGTGTGAGAGCCCCCGGGGGGCCCCCGAGGGCGGTTTCCTCAGAGGGTCTCCCTCCCCCTGTACATTTGAGTAAGCTGCGAACCCGCTTAGTTTTAGGAGGGATTCCTAGAGACCAGCCGGGTGCGCCGCTGCGCCCGGAGAGGGAGGGAGGGGGCGCTGTGGCTCCGGCGCCAGGCCTGCCCGGGAACCTGGGAGGGTCCACACGCGAGCCCTCGGGCTCCGAGCGGGCCCCTGGGGATGGATGCCCCCGAGCCAGGTTCCAGCCTTCTAGCCAGGAGGGGACCCCGGCCCAGTCGAGACTCTGGGCTCCACCACCCAGCATTGAGGTCCCAGGAGTCCGAGCCCAGGCCCACGAGGAGGAATTCTAGGCCACCAACTTTCCACCGAGGTGACAGCCTGTGCCTCCAGACCCCCAATTCCGAGCCTTGCGAGACCCACCGCCCGCGAGGAGAAGGGCGCGCGGCTGGAGCGCAGCCCCCTCCGCGGCGCCCAGCTCGCCCGGAGCTCCGGGCCCCGGATTGGGGCACCGCTAGGGCCGGCCGGGTGCGGATTTGTGAATGAACCGCAGAGCGCTTCCCACAGCTCACAGATCAGAGAGCTGCGGTCGCCCCACCGACGTGGTCCAGTGAGCCGCTGCAATAGCGCTTGGCGACAAAGCCGGCACGGCCCGGACTTGGCGATCCCGCGCGACGCCCGGCGGGGACGCAGGAGGGGCGAGCCAGGCAGCGACTTCAAAGCCGCTCTTCCGGACTCAGTGAAAGGGTGGCGCTCCAGGGTGGCAGGGTCTGAAACTGCGCTTCCCCCAGCCCGCCACCCCCGAGACCCCCACAGGCAGCCCTGACCCGGGTGACCCGAGCTTCCGGCGTCTCCAGCCCTCCCCGCGCGCTCCCTTCGCGTCCCCCGGGGCCCCTGGGCGTTGTCTCATCCCCGAACGGCCTCGCAGGTCTGGCCACACCCGCTTCCCTAAGCAGCTGTGTGGTTCGAAAGGTTTCCTCACTGCCTTCTCCCACCCAAAGTCTTTGGATGCCTCCCTCCTGTTCCAGCTGTTGGGGGGCGGGGGAGACCTACGCGCGCGCCGGTGTCCTGCGGAGTAGCCGGGCCTTTCCGCTTGCCGGTGGAGGCGCCGGGAGAGCCCCCCGGAGAGGAAGCGGAGGGTAAATCTGCCCGCCCGCCCCCCGCCCCGCCCTGCGCCCTTTCCCAGAAGGTCGGGCTATGCTGCTCCAGGTGCGCGCGCCTTAAAGACGCGCCATCTCCGCTTGTGCTGCCGGCCTCGAGGGTCCCAAATGTGCGCGCTCTTTTTTTCTGGATTGCAGCGGGGAAGGGCAAGGGGAGGGGGAGGCTGGGGCAAGGGGAGGGGAGGCTGGGGCAAGGGGTGGGGGGCGGGGGTGTGGGGAGATGGCGGGGAAGTTTGCTTAAAGGGAGGGAGAGGTCAGAGGTTAGGAGGGATTAAGGCTGGCAGCCCAGATCATCGTCGGCTCCCAGAGAGGGACTGCCGGAAGCAGGGGATCCAGACATCTAAGAAAACTGGATCGGGAGGAGGGCGTGGTCGCAATGAAGACCGAAAGATCCCAAAAGGAAGCGCGCAGGGGAGCCGGGATGTCGGGGTGCACAGCCGCGGAGGAAGAGAACCAGGAGACAAGAGGGCAGGGCTCACTGTTGTGACTCTGTGCCCCGCCCCCCGCCCCCCGACCTTGACAAGGCCCTCTGGGGAGTCTTTCTGCGTAGGGGCAGAGGGCACGTTCTCTCTGCACCATGTCGGCCCTCTCGGCTTCCACCCGGGCAATGCGCGCTCCTCTATCAGGCCTGTCCCCGCCTGGCCCCTCTCGGTTATCTGCTGGGGAAGACCTCTGGAAGGGCCCCCATCTGCTTCCACCCACCTCCCCAGATTCCCCAGAATAAATCCGCCCTGGGGTGAACTGCCCCCAGCCACCAGAAGGGCCTTGACGTTTGGGAACTTCCCAAAGCTACTGGAGCCAAGTGTAAAGGGCTATTTCCTTCCCCACTTAAGGTAGCATTGCCGCCCCAGAACAAGATTCCTCCCCAGCTCTGAGCAGGAGACCCCGGCACCTGACTGCCCCCTGGCCGCCTCTACCCCAGTTCTAATGGGCACTTCTGACTCAGCAGTCCCCCCTGGGCCTCAGTCTGCTCCTTCCCAGTTTCCCCATCCCCTGGTCTCACTGGCCAAGACCCTGGAGCACTCCAGGTTCCTGGTCCCTCACGGGCCACACCCTGGTCTTCAGCTGGCCTGCTGGCTCTGCCTCCCGCGTCCACCCCACAGTTACCCGCCTCCACCTCTCTGTGGCCATTTCTACCCCGCCTGGAGGGCTGGTTGGTCTTCCAACTTCCCTTGGCTCCTCAGTCTCTTCTCTCTTCACACTTCATCCACACCAGTGGTTGCCAAGAATGCTGAGAATTAGACTCGATCCTGAAAGACACCTCGGGGCCCTGTGTGACCTGCCCTGGCCACCTCCGTCGCCTGGGGTGATAAGGCTGGCCTTACTCGGCAAGCTCCTGCCCCAGTTCTATTTTCTGCAACACTCATGGCTACTTTGGGTTGTGAGACCTTAGGAGCTGTATGTATTTGGGACATGCCTGTTGAAGATTGATTCACATATAATGACAATAAAAACCCACTTTATGTATACTTAAACCATATATTTTAATGACTGCTTACTATATTTCCCCAGTGACTCCCCTATAGCTCAGACAGTAAAGAATCTGCCTGCAGTGCAGGAGACAGGGTTGATCCCTAGGTCGGGAAGATTCTCTGCATAAGGGCATGGCAACCCTCTCCAGTATTCTTGCCTGGAGAATCCCATGGACAGAGGAACCCGGTGGGCTACAGTCCATGGAGTCGCAAAGAGTCAGACACAACTGAGCGATATTTCCTCAAACAAAGCAAAATTCAGAAGAGTCTTGTTTCACATTTTTACACACTTCTTTAATCTCTCGCTTAAAAGTTAAAGGTAGCTGGACCCTCATTTCTGCCATGCAACCTATTATTTTGGTTCAAGTGTATGAAGAAAATGCCTCCTAGAGACATGTAGCTGGGAATGGAGGAATGTTTTATTACCCTTGGCATATGACTGGATCTTCTTCCTGAATATTAGACAAAATTCAACAGGTAGAAATTTCTGGAAGATTAGTTTCAATATGGAAGCTGAAACCGTATCAACGATTGCTTCATACTCTGCTATGTTAAAATCCATTGAGCTATCTTATGCATTGAATGGATCTTTTACCCACATCATTCATTGGTCATTTGGAAAATAGTGCTTCTCGGGGTTATGCCGTTCTCCCAAAGGTTGACAGATTTTCTTAAACAATATCACAAAATCACATTTGTTAATATCACCTTCAAGTTCATCAGAAAGGTCTTTAAATACCGGGAAGTTGTCTGACTTACAGTATTGGACACACGTTTTCCAGAATTTTCCTTTTCACTTGAAAACTCAAATTTTATCCCTGGCCACAACGACTCTTTTCCTTGACTTGACAGCCTCATTTCATTTACTTTCGAGAAAACGTCTGAACAGCTCTGGCGTGTCTGCCAGGTCCGTTTTGTGTAGGATGGAATTCCCCGGCAGAGGGCTGGTTGGCCATAGCTCACCCACGAGGGCTCCCCTGAGACAGCTCCCACCCTTGCGAGTGCAGCACTCTGAACACGACCCCCCGGTTCCTTCCCCCGGGACATTCGAAGGATATGTACTCAGGGGCCGAGCTTTAATAGAGCTCAGACCTTCTGTGCTTCTTCAGGGCCACTGTTCAGTGACACTGGCCTCTTTTAAGCACAGCTCGGAGCGCATGGCTGCTGGGGCTGTGGCCTGCATCCGGGGCGGGGGGACTCAGCCTTCTGCTCACCTTTGTCTGTGCACCTTGCACCAATGTCTGGGCGATGACGAAGATAAACGATGGCTCAGCACACCTGTAACGTGGCTGTGTGTGGACCCTCTGCCCGGGTCCTGAGGCTCTGCAGACCACACTCAGAACTGCTGTGTGCCTAGGGGAGTTTTGTGAAGGTGGCTTCCGGAGGTGGATATACAGTCCTGACCCAGAGCTCCTTTGACTTTGGAAGGCGACCAGGTGTGTGCAGCGTGTGTCACCTAGCCCCGCGGGTGCTGATGACTCCCACACTCGGATACACAACTGTCTCCGTGGTGAGAGCGTCACAGGAGTCACGGCTGTGGGAGAGCAGCCGTGAGAAACTGCACATCCGTTCAGATCGCGTTTTGCCACCAAATAACTTGTTGGTGACCTCTGTCACTCTCTCCACACACGGAGGGGTAGCCGGCGCACAGAGGCTGGCCTAAGGGCCAGCCTGGGGTCCCCTGAGGACGGAGGAGTAGTTCTGGGATGGAGGCGCGGCCCCCACACAGGGCTCGGACCACGGACATCCAGGCCGGGGGGGCACTCAAGCCCCCTCTCCGCTTGGCCCTGGGCCTCTCCCGCCTGCTCAGGCTGTGTGTGTCCCGCATGTGCGGCCCTGCAGCCGCTCAGGCACTCTGAACACTCCAGACGCGTTCCAGCTTGCAGACTTGTCTTGCAGTCTTACCCGTGAGAATCCAAGTTCCTCTAGGTCCTCACTGGTGGACGGGGAAGTCAAGTTGACGAAGGGGTGGGGGGCTGTCTCCACCCTCTCCTTGGGGTCTCTTCACCCTGTGCTCCAGCCCCCCGGGACCTCCGACTCCTCACCCACACTCACAGTCACTCACCTTTAGAGACACCCCCTTGGTGTCTGCGTTGGGCCCACAGACCCCGGTGTGGTTGCAGAGTTGTGGGCCATCTCAGGGAGACGTTCCCAAGGACAGAGACCATGATGGCTTGTCCCCGGCACAGGGCAGAGGTGACAGGTCCCGGCTGTGGAGCGATTGCTGTGTCCTTGGGACTGTTCTAGAACCTTCCTGTGGGACGATCTATTGAAATGCCCAGTAGCCCCCAGGCTTCTGTACCCGTCAGCGCTCTCCAAAGAGAACACACTAAGAGACTGGTTTGCAGACTGGGGCTGCCACGTCCAGAATCCTGGGGGCCACTGCAGGCTGGATGCTCAGGCGGGAGCAGAGGCCATGGTCTCCAGCAAGGTTCCTTCTCCTCTGGGAGACCTCCACCTTTGCTCTCAAGGCCTTGAGCTGGCCAGGTGAGGCCCACCTGCGTTATGGAGGGTCACTTCCTTCACTTAACGTCATCTGATTATAGGTGGTGATCACCTCTACAAAACGCCCCACCGTGGCTCCCCGGGGGCTGGTGTTTCCAGACCAGGTCCAGGTGCCTCACGAAGTGACGCCGAAAACCCAGCATTCAGGCTCAGGGTGGTGTGATCAGATCTGCAGGAAGGGAATTGAAATGCAGGCTCCCGGAACCCAGCCTGGGCCCGACTTTCAGGGCGAGAGATCTGGAAACCTTCTTTTTTAAAAAAATAATTGTTATTTATTCACTTTTGGCCGTGTTGGGTTTCCATTGCCACGAGGGCTTTTTCTCTAGTTGTGGCGAGCGGGGACTACTCTCTAGCTGCGGTGTGCAGGCTCCTTGCAGCGGCTTCTCTTGTCGAGGGGCTCCCAGGCTCTAGAGCGCGGGCTCAGTTGCTCCACGGCGTGTGGGATCTTCCTGCAACAGCAATGTGTGGTCCCCTGCCCTGGCAGGCAGACGGATTCTTTACCTCTGAGCCACCAGGAAAAGCTGGAAACCTTCATTTCAACTTAGGTCCCCGATGACGGAGGCCCACCGGAGTCCGGCTCCGCTGGTGGGGGTGAAGCTTCGGAAGGGTGAGCTGGGCAGTCTCTCCCTTGCAGTGTAGCCACATTGTCAGCCACGGGCCCTGTGCTGCGTGAAGCAGACTGTGGCCCC